CCACACAGTAGGGCAGTGGATCATGTAACATCCACACAGTAGGGCAGTGGATCATGTAACATCCACACAGTAGGGCAGTGGATCATGTAACATCCACACAGTAGGGTAGTGGATCATGTTACATCCACACAGTAGGTCAGTGGATCATGTAACATCCACAGTGGGTGAGTGGATCATGTAACATCCACACAGTAGGTCAGTGGATCATGTAACATCCACAGTGGGTCAGTGGATCATGTAACATCCACACAGTAGCTCAGTGGATCATGTAACATCCACACAGTGGGTCAGTGGATCATGTAACATCCACACAGTAGGTCAGTGGATCATGTAACATCCACAGTGGGTCAGTGGATCACGTAATATCCACACAACGGGTCAGTGGATCATGTAACATCCACAAAGTGGGTCAGTGGATCATGTAACATCCACACAGTGGGTCATGTAACATCCACACAGTGGGTCAGTGGATCATATGACATCCACACAGTGGATCATGTAACATCCACACAGTGGGTCAGTGGATCATGTAACATCCACACAGTGGGTCAGTGGATCATGTAACATCCACACAGTGGGTCAGTGGATCAGGTAACATCCAAACAGTAGGTCAGTGGATCATGTAACATCCACAGTGGGTCAGTGGATGATGTAACATCCACACAGTAGGGCAGTGGATCATGTAACATCCACACAGCGGGTCATGTAACATCCACACAGTGGATCATGTAACATCCACACAGTAGGTCAGTGGATCATGTAACTTTCACACAGTGGGTCAGTGGATCATGTAACATCCACACAGTGGAACATGTAACATCCACACAGTGGGTCAGTGGATCATGTGACATCCACACAGTGGTCAGTGGATCATGTAACATCCACACAGTGTGTCAGTGGATGATGTAACATCCACACAGTAGGGCAGTGGATGATGTAACATCCACACAGTAGGGCAGTGGATCATGTAACATCCACACAGTGGGTCAGTGGATCATGTAACATCAACACAGTAGGGCAGTGCATCATTTAACATCCACACAGTAGGGCAGTGGATCATGTAACATCCACACAGGTCAGTGGATCACGTAACATCCACACAGTGGGTCAGTGGATCATGTAACATCCACACAGTGGGTCAGTGGATCATGTTACATCCACACAGTTGATCATGTAACATCCACACAGTGGGTCAGTGGATCATGTAACATCCACACAGTGGGTCAGTGGATCATGTAACATCCACACAGTAGGGCAGTGGATCATGTTACATCCACACAGTAGGTCAGTGGATGATGTAACATCCACACAGTGGGTCAGTGGATCATGTAACATCAACACAGTAGGGCAGTGCATCATTTAACATCCACACAGTAGGGCAGTGGATCATGTAACATCCACACAGGTCAGTGGATCACGTAACATCCACACAGTGGGTCAGTGGATCATGTAACATCCACACAGTGGGTCAGTGGATCATGTTACATCCACACAGTTGATCATGTAACATCCACACAGTGGGTCAGTGGATCATGTAACATCCACACAGTGGGTCAGTGGATCATGTTACATCCACACAGTGGATCATGTAACATCCACAGTGGGTCAGTGGATCATGTAACATCCACACAGTGGGTCAGTGGATCATGTAACATCCACACAGTGGGTCAGTGGATCATGTAACATCCACAGTGGGTCAGTGGATCATGTAACATCTACACAGTAGGGCAGTGGATCATGTAACATCCACACAATGGGTCAGTGGATCATCTAACATCAACACAGTAGGTCAGTGAATCATGTCACATCCACACAGTCGGTCAGTGGATCATGTAACATCCACACAGTAGATCAGTGGATCATGTAACATCCACACAGTGGGTCAGTGGATCATGTAACATCCACAGTGGGTCAGTGGATCATGTAACATCTACACAGTAGGGCAGTGGATCATGTAACATCCACACAATGGGTCAGTGGATCATCTTACATCAACACAGTAGGTCAGTGGATCATGTTACATCCACAGTTGGTCAGTGGATCATGTAACATCCACACAGTGGGTCAGTGGATGATGTAACAACCACAGTGGGTCAATGGATCATGTAACATCCACACAGTGGGTCAGTGGACCATGTAACATCCACAGTGGATCAGTGGATCATGTAACATCCACAGTGGGTCAGTGGATCATGTAACATCCACACAGTAGGTCAGTGGATCATGTTACATCCACACAGTAGGGCAGTGGATCATGTAACATCCACACAGTAGATCAGTGGATCATGTAACATCCACACAGTAGGGCAGTGGATCATGTAACATCCACACAGTAGGGCAGTGGATCATGTTACATCCATACAGTGGGTTAGTTGATCATGTAACATCCACACAGTGGGTCAGTGGATCATGTAACATCCACACAGTGGGTCAGTGGATCATGTAACATCCACACAGTAGGGCAGTGGATCATGTTACATCCACACAGTAGGACAGTGGATCATGTAACATCCACACAGTGGGTCAGTGGATCATGTTACATCCACAGTTGGTCAGTGGATCATGTAACATCCATACAGTTGGTCAGTGGATCATGTAACATCCACAGTGGGTCAGTGGATCATGTAACATCCACACAGTAGGTCAGTGAATCATGTCACATCCACACAGTGGGTCAGTGGATCATGTAAGATCCACATAGTGGGTCAGTGGATCATGTAAGATCCACACAGTGGGTCAGTGGATCATGTAACATCCACACAGTAGGGCAGTGGATCATGTAACATCCACACAGTGGGTCAGTGGATCATGTAACATCCACACAGTAGGGCAGTGGATCATGTTACATCCACACAGTAGGTCAGTGGATCATGTAACATCCACACAGTGGGTCAGTGGATCATGTAACATCCACACAGTAGGTCAGTGGATCATGTAACATCCACACAGTAGGTCAGTGGATCATGTAACATCCACACAGGTCAGTGGATGATATAACATCCACACAGTAGGGCAGTGGATCATGTAACATCCACACAGTAGGGCAGTGGATCATGTAACACCCACACAGTAGGGCAGTGGATCATGTTACATCCACACAGTGGATCATGTAACATCCACACAGTGGGTCAGTGGATCATGTAACATCCACACAGCAGGTCAGTGGATCATGTAACATCCACACAGTGGGTCAGTGGATCATGTGACATCCACACAGTGGATCATGTAACATCCACACAGTGGGTCAGTTGATCATGTAACATCCACACAGTGGGTCAGTGGATCATGTAACATCCACACAGTGGGTCAGTGGATCATGTAACATCCACAGTGGATCATGTAACATCCACACAGTGGGTCAGTGGATCATGTAACATCCACACAGTAGGTCAGTGGATCATGTTACATCCATACAGTAGGTCAGTGGATCATGTAACACCCACACAGTAGGTCAGTTGATCATGTAACATCCACACAGTGGGTCAGTGGATCATGTAACACCCACACAGTCGGTCAGTGGATCATGTAACATCCACACAGGTCAGTGGATCACGTAACATCCACACAGTAGGGCAGTGGATCATGTAACATCCACACAGGTCAGTGGATCACGTAACATCCACACAGTGGGTCAGTGGATCATGTAACATCCACACAGTGGGTCAGTTGATCATGTAACATCCACACAGTGGGTCAGTGGATCATGTAACATCCACACAGTAGGTCAGTGAATCATGTCACATCCACACAGTGGGTCAGTGGATCATGTAACATCCACACAGTTGGTCAGTGGATCATGTAACATCCACACAGAAGGTCAGTGGATCATGTAACATCCATACAGTAGGTCAGTGGATCATGTAACACCCACACAGTGGGTCAGTGGATCATGTAACATCCACACAGTGGGTCAGTGGATCATGTAACATCCACACAGTAGGGCAGTGGATCATGTAACATCCTCACAGTGGGTCAGTGAATCATGTGACATCCACACAGTGGATCATGTAACATCCACACAGTGGGTCAGTGGATCATGTAACATCCACACAGTGGGTCAGTGGATCATGTAACATCCACACAGTAGGTCAGTGGATCATGTAACATCCACACAGTGGGTCAGTGGATCATGTAACATCCACACACTAGGGCAGTGGATCATGTTACATCCACACAGTAGGACAGTGGATCATGTAACATCCACACAGTGGGTCAGTGGATCATGTAACATCCACACAGTGGGTCAGTGGATCATGTAACATCCACACAGTAGGGCAGTGGATCATGTAACATCCACACAGTAGGTCAGTGGATCATGTAACATCCACACAGTGGGTCAGTGGATCATGTTACATCCACACAGTAGGTCAGTGGATCATGTAACATCCACAGTGGGTCAGTGGATCATGTAACATCCACACAGTGGGTCAGTGGATCATGTAACATCCACACAGTGGGTCAGTGGATCATGTAACATCCACACAGTGGGTCAGTGGATCATGTAACATCCACACAGTGTGTCAGTGGATCATGTAACATCCACACAGTAGGTCAGTGGATCATGTAACATCCACACAGTTGGTCAGTGGATCATGTAACCTGGCCTAATGTTTCTTTGTTGCTAAATGCTGCCCTATGCAGTATTGTTGACAAATGCAAGACAGCCATACAGCAGAGCTGCTCTCCACTGACCTGGTCACCTGGGGACAACCTTGTTCCATGTAGAAGAGGTCAACCCTGTTAGACTGACACTTCAAATTCAAATAGTCGACGTAGATTAGTTGTGGCACTTACTCATTCAACATTAAATATCAAATCAAGAGAATAACTGTTGAAACAGATTCCATTGGGCATACAAGGCAAAACAGTGGTAAATTTTATGAATGGATCACTGAAAATCACGAAGAGAGCATGTCCTGCATTCCTAAATTGATGTTCAGACTTGATGAGCTGGGCCCCGTGTCATGCGAAGCACTGCAAAAAAGTAACAACAACAGCCATTCATGTTTTGTATTTTAATATATATATTGGCAAAGCATTATTTACAATATATTATAGTGCATTTAAAACAACCCTTGTGATAGGAGGCTCTTGTAGGCATCGGACACGTTTTGTATCAAAATAATAACTTTCTGTAACAATATTGATCTGAAACTAGTAACAGAAATAAAGAATGAAAAAAACACCTTGCCATAGAAATAACTAAATTAATGCATACAAAAACTTCAAAGCTTGGAGCTAATTGCAGTTGTTTCCTAACTCTTTGTTTGACCATGGTAGGGAGAGTCACACAGGGATGTGAAGTCTGCAACACCAGCACCACCAGCAGCCGCACCAGCAGCAGCAGCAGGAGGTTGAGTGTGTCTTGGATCACTGAGGCATCTCTGCTGTACGACACCTCTCTGTCACCATACATCAGTTCCAGACAAGATAATTACTGTCAACTTGAAATATGTCAACAAAATATTTCAAACTATTTGAGATTCCCTCATATAAATCTCAATACTTGAATGAATTGATGACACTCAGCCAACAACCTGAAGCAGTTGCCATGGGTACACAGCAGTGTTATACAAGGAATTCAATTATCAGAAAGAAATGTCCATGTAAAGTAATCTACCGAATCCTTCTCAAATAAATCTATTCTTTTTAGATCATTAGTTGATCACAAACAATAAATAACAAACAAACCAGTAACAAAGCCTTGAATAGATACAAAAATAAGTGTGCAATGTAAAGTGATCTTGAAGAACAAACGTTTACATGACAACAGACTTTCCAGTATAATCCCGAACAGCACAAGACTGAAGGTGAGGGACCCGGCTGTAATTCCAGTCTCAGGGACCTGTCAGGGCCTTCACTGCTATGTGAATACAAGTAGTTACCCAGGCTGGCAACCCACGTGAATACAAGCACAGGGCTCGATTTAGCTATATAAAACATGCACTAGTGCAACCTATTGAAATGTGCAACCTAATGTCTACATGCACCAAGTACATGAAAATAAAACTCAATTTTTAGTCTCACCCTTACTTGTCCACACAACAATGGTCAATGAACACACTCAGTGCCTCTAAGAATAATGTAAATCACTGATTGCTGTGTTATGTGTAATTTATGACTCAAGACGCAGTCATCAAAGATTTGAGATTTTACTTGTTGGACAAGTTTATGCATCTATGTTTCAACTTTCAATTGATGGGACCAGGGTGCAGCCTGGGTTTGTCTGGTGCAACTAGCTGTTCATGTCAACGTGCACCTGGTGCTTGTTAAATCAAGTTCCTTAACTCGAGCCCTGAAGTAGTTTCCAAAAGCTGTCAACCTAGATGTAAATACTTGTAGTTAACAAAGGCTGTCAACCCACATGTGAATACTACGGGGCCAATACTACCCATTAATGCATCCAGGCAAAGACTAAACAATTAACATAGTCAATAGTAGAAAAATCCACACAGCAAATGAAACTCTAAAAGGCAAGAAAACTGTCTCCATCAGCCTACTGGGCTGAAGAAACAAGCTATGAAGAGCACAGCAGTGTGAGTGACTCAAGGTGTCAGCCGTCAGCTGTCAGACAGGGTCAGACACGAGTCTGCAAGATGTCAGCCGTCAGACAGGGTCAGACACGAGTCTGCAAAGGTTCCAGACAAAGGAATCTAGAAGGACTGAACATTTCTAGTTTGCTGACATAAACCACCTAGGGACTTATTTACACTTGCTTAGAGGTCTGCATTCCTGCTGTTATTGTTATAACTAATGTTACGGCTTTGTAGAAGTGATTTGTGTATCAGTAATAACAGTACCAGTCTGGAGGAAGAGGCAGTAATGCTCATGTAACATTATCGCACTGAATGTAATGTTAAAAGTCAACTCCAAACTGAGAAAAAAAAGAACTTTCAAATAATCCCTTTTATGAAGAAAACAATTATTTTCTGCAATTCGCCTGCCAAGCACCCTTAGTTTGTAATCTCGGACAAATCCCGGACTGAAATGAGGTCCGGACATTTTGTATCTTATTTGCCAGACATGTTTGCATCAACCAAGACAACCACAGTGTCTGAACATGCTCAGTTGGTTGTCAAGGCCTCTTTTCACCTGTACAACTTGTTGGTTCTTTGTAGATGGTCACACTGTCCAATGAAGCAACTATCAAATGCATGTCATACACACAGCCCACCGTCAGTCAGCTCTGTCATAAACCTAAAGTCCTACCAAGCCTAACAAATTATGTTGCTGTTTGTCTTGACAAAAAAGCTTTGTAGCATGTCATTAACACAGACAGCACAATACAATTATATTTGAAGCTTTTAGGTGGGCAATGCATTACAAAAAAACCTATGTCCCCTAACAACACAGCTACAGAAGTCAGCAGAATAGCAAGCCAAACACAAGCACTCTAGCTGCAGATACAGAATGGTGTTATTCTCATGTTGTTCACAAGTCCATCTGAGTGGGACAACACAAGGCTGACAGCACGGAGATCTGGAGAGGAATCATTGTACATATATTACATATCTTACATACGGGCGTCCTACGGTTGTATCAGTAATATAACAAGAACCAGTCACTCACGACAACTGTTTTCTTACATCAGAAACTCCAACAAGGTGGTCAATAACTGTACACTATGTCCAATATTTATAACACATTCAGCTCTCTCCTCTTCAAGTTCCTCCCTGAACGTAGTCTCGGCAAATGTTTACAGAAATCCTTAACGCAAGTTACCGTCAAGCTGCATCAACTCAACATCCTTACGAAATTTAACACCTGGTTAGCTCATGTCATCAGATTTGACCAATCACAAGCAGTTTGTCATTTAACATCCTTCCTATTGCCCTTCATGTCGAATCACATGGGTAAGTCACATACCCACATCACATGACGAGATCACATGACTGTCACATGACCTGGAGGGTACAGTCATCTATGTAATGTTCTAGGAGTCAATAAAACACTGGCTATGTAAACAAGGTGAAGGTTATACTGTTGTACTCCGGGGCCCGTGGACTAAAGGTCTTGCATATTCTACAAAGTCGTCTATCAGGACTGGCCAGGCACCTGAACAGGGACAAAACAAATTGACATTAAAATGTGATGATGATGATGATGATGATGATGCGGAGAAAGCATGTTAATTACAAAGCAGACCTGCCGACATCTTTACACAAAGCACACTCATGTACCGTGAGTAATAACTTTGTTTGTTTGTTTATTGTTTAACACCTCACTCAGCAATATTCCAGCTATATGACAATGGTCTGTAAAAACATAATCGAGTCTGGACTTGCATGGCAAGTCAGCAAGGCTGACCAATCAATGCCATTACGATTCTAAGCAATTCAAATCTGGATCTGCACAACAAGCATGGGTTGATGAAGACCAATTCTAATCTTGATCTTCATTACAAGATATACTTCATGTAATAAGATATAGGTAAACTGCCACAGTTGCAAGTCCTACTATGAATAGGAGCCTGACAATATATATTGATAACTCTCCAACCAGTGCATTCAACACAAGAGTTACCTCCCCTGCTAGAAAATCTTATGACACCCACCACACTGTCTTTCCACAAAAACTATTTCCCCCAAAACTCAGAGATACAGAATAAATGTCAGCACTAAATACAACAGATATTTGTACAGATGTATTGGTCTAATGCTTAAAATTAATGTTGAACTAAAGCCTTTTAATATTCTTCAGGATGTGTTCTGGAGTAAATACTGTTATTTAAAGTCAGATTTTGTATTTGTAATGACCCAGGTTCTTCAGCACATTAAATGACATCAAGCCAAACTCTGCAGACACTCAGGATTGTTGACAAGAGTCGTACTAGTCACGGAGATTTGACTTACTGCTGCCATTCTAAAAGGTTTTTACTTTACCCCTTCGTCTTACATCCCAACAACCATGGTTCCCAGGACCCGACCGACTCCTCTGAAGACACAAACCCCTGCTGTGACATTTCCATCCATGTTCTGCCACAGCTCAGAGTGAGTGAGTATTGTTTACGTTGCTTTTGGCAATATTCCAGCAATATCAAGGCGGAGGACACCAGAAATGGGCTTCCTACACATGTGGGGAATCGAACCCGGATCTTTAGCGTGACAAGCAAACACCTAACCACTAGTGTACCCCACCGCCCCACACAGCTCAGATGAAGACCCTCTCCTGCTTCTTCCGCCGCCCCGAACACTAGCTTCTTCATCACACTCACCTTCTTCATCGTAATTGCTCATATCATCGTTTATCATGTTACAGAAGTCCAGGAGTAGATTCCACGTATCTTTAGGGATGGAGCGTTTATGATGTTCCTGAAACAGAATGAGTGAGGTTAAACCACATGTCACGGACACTTCAGCCCACTGATGGAGGTTGTGAGGTGAAATGGGGTTTAACGTCGCGTCCAAGATTATTGCACTTATATAGCAATGTGCATGCACGTGTGTGTGTGTGTGTGTGGCTGCTTGTACTAGTGCGGACTAATGCCGAATTTATAGTGCTAGCTCACTGAGATACCATGCCGCAGTTTAACAAGGGGTGAAAGTAAGGGACATAACTCTGCACAGTGTCTGTGACTGATAGTCTTACCAGGCACAAACAGCTAACCACAGGGTATTCAGGAATTGGAAATTTTCCAATAAATTGTATTTTTATATAATTATCCTATTTCACACCAAGCATTTCTTCTTCGAACCTATGTGATAACATGCTTGAACAAAGTTTCCAGCTTCTGAAAACAATTCACCCAAACACATACCAGCAACATCCTGGTCATGCACCCATCAACTGGGCCATGCACGTAATTCTGTGCATAGCGCCCTTACACGACCAACACAAACATTCGACGCAACGATGAAGGAACTTTGCTAAGGCCTTGGGGAGAGGCGGGGAAATAGCCACAGGTCTGAAGAAATTCCAAACGGTAGCACCTTCCATTGGTGGCCTTGGAAAACATGTGGTGCCCCTGATAGGCAGGAACATGAAGATACGTGTCCTGTAAACTAAGAGTGACCAGGAAATGGCCGGGACGAATGAATTGAGGTCATGCAGAAGTGAGGAGGTTCTTCTAGGTACAACGCTTGGAAGGTCTTCAGGGGGCACGGGTGGACTAGTCGTCTAAGCGCCGTGATTCGCTGTGCAAATTCCGTCCCTTGGGCACGCCAGAAACCTGTGATTGTGGGTTTGAATCCCAGTTCGCCTAGATCATGTTTCTAGGTTTGTCAGCACCATACCCTTGCTCATGGGTTTCACTGAAGTGGTAAACGTCTGAGACCTGCATCACTTCAGGCTTTCCTCCCACATTAAGCTGACACGCTGAAATGTAACTGGAATACTGTTAAAAGCGGCGTTAAACCCAACTCACTCACTCACACTCTTAGGTGCTGCACTTCAATGTGCCGAATTGCCTCCCTTAGACATACCAGGAACCTATGTTTGTGGGTTGCAGCAATCCCAGATTTGCTCCCACCCGTGCTTGTGAGTTTGAAGTGTGTTCATCTAAGACCTTTGTCACGTCTAGCTCTAGTGAAGCCATGGGGATTCAGTGTAGGAATATGGATCCCCAGGAACTTCTGCTTGTCGCAAGAGGCAACTATGTGGATTAAGAGTTCAGGCTCAGTGACTTGGTTGATGCATATAATCCTATCCCAGTTGTGTGGATTGATGTTAATGATGTCAATCACCAGATTGTCTGGCCAAGACTCGATTAATTACAGGTGACCATCATGTAAACTTGAATTTTGTCACAAAAGAAAGCAATAAATGCATAAGAGTAATGCAAGATAAGATGTGAGGTTGTTCCCGGTATTGAACAGCTTCGCCCAAACACAACGGTCCCCAACAATAGTGTGTGCCTGCACGTGAATCATAGACTGTGACACTTGATCTGATTTCCATTGTTATCAGTCTCGTTGTTGTCTCTGTCAAGTAAACGTCCTATGTTTGTACCTCTGTGTTGCATGTCTTGTGGGTCTGAATACCTTCCAATGGAAAACATTTTTCAATTTTGCTAATATTGCTGAGTGCAGCGTTAAACAAAATAAAGAAACTTTGTAGTCCTTGTTTAGCTTATGACAAAAACACTGTTGTTGTTGGCTCCAATCATGTTTCTACATTTGTCAGCACTATACCCGTGCTCCTGGGTTTCTGAGATCTTCATCACTTCGGGCTTTCCTCACACATTATGCTGACACGTCGCGACATAACTAGAATACTGTTTAAAGAGGCGTTAAATCCAGGTCTTCATGAACAGAAGCTTGAGACTGGCCTTCTTTGGCACAAGCAAAATGGGCGAGTTGACCCAGGGAGTTGCGTGAACCGGACTGAGACATTTTTCACGAGCAACATGCCTATAGTGTCTGACGGAGGTGTTACACATGCTCAAAGTGTTACATGTGATTCAGTGTGGGGACCACCGAAGCCTTTGAAACTCTCAGGAGCCAAGCTTCTCAAAAACGTGATCACCCATCAAAGGACTCACCACAACTGATGTCGCTTAGCTTCACCCGACTTGTGACCTGTGTGCTGTGCACAGGACCACGTGCCACCACATGTCATCCTAATACATCTGCCATCAACACAAATGCAGGAACACAGGACCACGTGCCACCACATGTCATCCTACTACACCTGCCATCAACACAAATGCAGGAACACAGGACCACGTGCCACCACATGTCATCCTACTACACCTGCCATCAACACAAATGCAGGAACACAGGACCACGTGCCACCACATGTCATCCTACTACACCTGCCATCAACACAAATGCAGGAACACAGGACCACGTGCCACCACATGTCATCCTAATACATCTGCCATCAACACAAATGCAGGAACACAAGACCCACCTGTAAAAACTTGACCCAGAGGTCGAGGAACTTGAATCTGCCAGCCAGCACAATGTTCCAGTACGCTAAGGCCATGTCGAGATCTGAAACATCAACACACATCATCACAATGTTCCAGTACGCTAAGGCCATGTCGAGATCTGAAACATCAACACACATCATCACAATGTTCCAGTACGCTAAGGCCATGTCGAGATCTGAAACATCAACACACATCATGACAATACCAGATTGAAGAATACAAGACGACTTTTGGGGGGTAACGTTTCCCCTAGGCATTTTTAGCATTTTGCGCCCTGCTCTTTTTTAGGCACCCTGCCCATGTTTCCTGCCTGCCATGCCTTTTCTGACATTTGCCGTTTTGTACAGATCTTAAGAAAAAAGTAGAGTTGCCTCCCTTTGCAATAGGAAAATTGTTTTGATAACAATTATGAAATCAAAACTTAAATCAAACCGATGGCTTACTCTAGCCATTATTTGCGTGTTATTTCACAATACCAATCCATCAGAGGACCACATGGAAAAGGGAAGAAGCGAGGAGGGCTGAGGCCAGGAAGTGTCGGGGACTTCTAGATTACTTAGTGAGGTAGGCCGCAATGTTCTAATTTTGTGATCACAGCAACATCAGATGACTGTGTTTGGCTTCCATATAAATATAAAATGTATTGCATTAGTTTGTCTAAATTTTGGTCTAGGAAGAACAGATGAATATGAGTTAATACATATACAAAGACCACAATAATTGATATTAACACTTGAGGAATTTTTGTCAAAGTCTAGTAACATAACTGTCCTCTTTTGACCTTAAATAATTATATGCACAAATAACATGACATTATCCATGGAAATCTGTTATCGGGTGCCCTTTTAGGAATTCTGTCACCCCTCTCTTTTTTTATCCTGGGAGAAGCACTAACACTGGGTGTGGGGACTGATGGGTTGGTCTCTCTGATCGCTGACACCAGGCTGTGATGATCATTGGCAACATCCTCCTATAGTAACATGACCAGTCCTGAAACTTTAACTCCCTAAGCATTCATTCACTCACCTAAGCCTTTTTGACCGGGATTTTTGGCATAATTGAAAGTAAATTGGTAAAAGTCTTTGAATCTCTGCGGGTCTCGGATCTCCTGCTCCATGCAAGCACAGCGCAGCTTCAGCTTGTCGATGGTGTCGCAGCTGAAAGTAACACCACACTGTCAGCATCTGGACGCAGCCACCAGCGACTCACTGGGACACAGGACACAACCACAAGCGACTCACTGGGGCACAGGACACACGACACAGGACCCAACCACCAGCGACTCACTGGGACACAAGACACAGGACACAACTACCAGCGACTCACTGGGACACAGGACACAGGACACAACCACCAGCGACTCACTGGGACACAGGACACAACCACCAGCGACTCACTGGGACACAGGACACAGGACACAACCACCAGCGGCGCACTGGGACACAGGACACAGGACACAACCACCAGCGACTCACTGGGACACAGGACACAGGACACAACCACCAGCGACTCACTGGGACACAAGACACAGGACACAACCACCAGCGACTCACTGGGACACAGGACACAACCACCAGCGACTCACTGGGACACAGGACACAACCACCAGCGACTCACTGGGACACAGGACACAGGACACAACCACTAGCGAGTCACTGGGACACAGGACACAGGACACAACCACAAGCGACTCACTGGGACACAGGACACAACCACCAGCGACTCACTGGGACCCAGGACACAGGACACAACCACCAGCGACTCACTGGGACACAGGACACAGGACACAACCACTAGCGAGTCACTGGGACACAGGACACAGGACACAACCACAAGCGACTCGCTGGGACACAGGACACAACCACCAGCGACTCACTGGGACACAGGACACAGGACACAACCACCAGCGAGTCACTGGGACACAGGACACAGGACCCAACCACCAGCGAGGCACTGGGACACAGGACACAGGACACAACCACCAGCGTCTTACTGGGACACAGGTCACAAACAAAACATAACAACAACTGTTTTTCTCATAAGCTAAACGAGGACGGAAAGTTTCTATAATTTTTTGTTTAATGCTGCACTCAGCAATATTAGCAAAATTGAAATATGTTTTACATTGGAAGGTATTCAGACCCAAAAGACATGCAACACAGAGGTATGAACACAGGATGTTTACTTGACAGAGACAACAACGAGACTGATTACAATGGAAATCAGATCACGCGTCACTGTCTATGATTCACGTGCAGGCACACACTATTGTTGGGGACCGTTGTGTTTGGGCGAAGCTGTCCAATACCGGGAACAACCTCACAACCTCACAACTTATCTTGCATTACTCCTTAGCGCATTTACTGCTTTCTTTTGACAGAAAATGAAGCTGCGTGAGGTCCAGGGTAAGTTACAAAACTTCAAGTTTACATGATGGTCACCTGTAAATAATCGAGTCTTGGCCAGACAATCTAGTGATTGACATCATTAACATCAATCCACACAACTGGGATAGGATTATATGCATCAACCAAGTCACTGAGCCTGAACTCTTAATCCACATAGTTTTCTCTTGCGACAAGCAGAAGTTGCTGAGGATATATATTGCTACACTGAATCCCCACGGCTTCATGTGGGACGAGAGCTACACATGACAAAGGTCTTAGATGTACACCACTTCAAACTCACAAGCACGGGTGGGAGAAAATCTGGGATTGCTGCAACCCACAAACACGGGTTCTTGGTATGTCTAAGTAAGGCAACTCTGCACAACAAAGTGCAGCACAAGACAAAGGTCTTAGATGTACACCACTTGAAACCCACACGCATGGGTGGGAGCAGATCTGGGATTGCTGCAACCCATAAAAATAGGTTCCTGGTACGAGGCAACTCTGCACATCCAACCAAGTGCACTACCTAAGATGACTGGACCATCCACGCCATGAATAAATCGGATTCCTAATGATTTCAGACATCCTCCTCAAGTTTCCTTCAGCTGGTACAGCTTGTAACTTGCAGCACACCCATGAAGATCCGGCATAGAATAGGTCTTCAGCAACCCATGCTTGGCGTAAATGGCGACTTTGCTTGTCGCAAGAGGCGACTAACGGGTTTGGGTGGTCAGGCTGGCTGACTTGGTTGATGCATGTCAACGTATACCTATTGTGTGGATCGATGCTCATGACATTAATCACTGGATTGTCTGGTCCAGACTCAATCATTTACAGACCGCCGTCATACAGCTGGAATATTGCTAAGTGTTGATATGTTCTCACAATTTTCAAAAAGAATCAGGCAAGTCATGGGGTCCTTGTCATAACCCTAATATTAAAAGTTTAAAAGTGTGAGGAGTCCATGGAACACTAAAGGAGCAAACCACAAACACCCCCCTTAATGCTGAACACAGTTCACACTTACCCAAGATCCAACATGCCATTGCTGAATTCCTCTTTAGAAAACTCGCACTGCGTGGCGGCCTTGAACTTCCAGGCCAGGATGAGGACTGTCCGAGACTCTGCGTTCAGGTTGAGGTCATCGAGGAACTTCATGACCCCGTCCACCGTCATCTTCTCATCTTCACTGGGGTCTGACAACAAGCCAACATGCAGCATCAGTACAAGGACCCTGGAGTACATTGCCCCAGTGTGTACAAGGAGGGGATAGTACTCATTTATCAAAAACAAAAGTCAGCATGACATAATTGGTCATCCTGGGACACATATACTCAAAACAAATAAATACCCTGCGTTAAAACTGGTCTTCATGACGCATGTTTGCCGTAAGCACTGTCCAAAATAACTGCTTGCCCACAGGCCCGTGGCTGGTAATTTTTCAGTCGGGCTGCATGAAATTTTCCTCCACCTGCGTGACTGTCCAGCATATAATATTAAGACTATGTACGAATCAGTTTTATTGCAACTCCTCGTAGATTCTCAAGTACTTGTTTGCATTATTTCAACTGAATCAAAACGTGATTTGTCCCTTATATTTCACGAATTTTCAATATTTATAATGTCTGAATGCAGGCAGGTAACTTTGAAGATGGGCAGGCAACAATTATTTCAAACCCTGCGTCAACCAAGTCTGCGAGCCTGACCATCCGATCCCGTTAGTCGCCTCTTATGACAAGCATATTCGCCTTTTACAGCAAGCATGGGTTGCTGAAGACCTATTTTAACCCGGAATGTCACCTTGGAAAGTATGACAACTGAAAATAGGTTGCAAAGTATTTAGTAGGCAAACAAGCCTAAACACTTGTTAAGTCAGTAAAGTCCTTATCCTTATCGTCATTCTGTCGTATGGGTTGGACAGTAGCATTGAGAGCTTTAAGAGGTCACCTTCTGCCTCAGCGACTTCCAGGTGACCTGTCCCTCTTTGGAACTCATGTGTGTGAGTTGGGTGCACATATCTATTGGCATTTTCAATATCGATAAGATTTCTGTTTTTGTACTGATCGTTTTGATTTTTAGAAATTGATGTGGATGCTCTGTTTATATATGTCCGACAGTTAGTTGGGCTTTCGCTATTGCATCTCTTGGTGTCAGGAGGTCTACGATAAGTCAGCGTATTTAACAGCAATTCTTGTTTTAAGAGAGGTAAGGGGAATCGTGCATATTTATATCATAGATAATTTCATATAATTTTTACTTTGTTTAACTTACTCTTAATTAGTTAACCTGCCTCATTTAACCTCTTATATGTCATACATTGTCACGCATGTTTTCAGTTTTTGTCAAGATACTCTAAAAAAACATCATATTGAGTTGTTATTACCATAGGAATATACTTGTTTGAACAATGAACTTTACTTAACATGGGGGCATCCTTCTCAGCCCCTGGACTATTCCACTACATCAGTGGGTAATTTGCCTTTGTTGTTTAAACTAAGTGTAGTCATTATGGCATGTAGTTGTCAGTCCAAATGGAAATGTTGATTACCCCCTAATCTTGTACAAGTCAGTCAGTGACAAACATACACTGGCACTTTGTTGAGTGGAAATGGAAAAGCTGACATATAAACAATCAGCTTAATTAACACTGATTCACTCTGGCATGTTGTCAGGTAATTACTTGTGTATACAAGCAGCAGGCACGCCCACCCTTACAATGTCCCCACATCATTCCATGTACCGGCAATACTAATTACCCTGCACCAGAGTCTGACAGATCACAGATCTGATATAAACATATTTATTTCCATAAAGTGGAGGGATTGGCAAACAAGCAAATTTTGCTTATCTGAATGCCTCTCCCAAACATGATACATATACAAATAGCAATGTATTGAAAGTGACATGAGATATAGCATACATACAAGTATAATTGGCATTAAAGATAAGTACTGTTCTATAAGTGTTTAATTACTGGATTATCTTCCATAACTTCAGTTACATTATTATTTACATTCAGCACAACAACATCGCAGTATCATATAGCAAAGCCAACATCTCAGACAAAATCTCTAAATTGGCAAGAAGATAGAATAAAACTGTGCACCGATTTCAAAATTTCAAGATTTGTTACTGTCGTTACCATTGAATTACCATTTAGAATTGAATTTAAATCGTAGCCCTTTACGAAATAATACATGTTTTGCCTTACTGTACTGTTTAAGGGACACGTAACAAAAGAAATGAAGTGCATCTTCCGTATGATAGCCACAACAACATCTCGGGCTGTCGGATATGAATCTGGCAAATTTGTCGGCGTTTAGATCACTGCATCCAAGCCAGAGACGGGAGTGTATAACCTGTCAGACTCTGGATCCATAATTTGTATCAAAGTATATACCATTCCTATTATTGCTTTTTATAAAACAGATCTCATACAGATCCTATGTTCCTGTTCATAATATAACATATATTCAACTTTCATCTGAAATTGCACTATGTTTTTAAAAAAATTCCAAAGAACAGCATGCTTTTATTGTCTTCTTAGTTATCTCACATACAAAGCTTCATATTATTTGTAATAATTGTTGGTTGGTTTGTTGTTCAACACCGCACTTAGCTATATTTCAGCTATATGAAGACAGTCTGTAAATAATCGAGTCTGGACCAGACAATCCAGTGATTAATATCATGAGCCTCAATCCACGCAATTGGGATCGATGACATGCCTCAACCAAGTCAGCGAGCCTATTATTTGTAATAATTTCTTTATGGATATACATACAGTTACCATGATTACAAATATCAAATAAACACCCAGCACATCTGACAATGGATGAAAACTTGCTTGGTCCACTTTGAAACCAACACAAACCATAAAGTCAAGAGATGCCTGAGACTGATGACATCAATATCATACACAAACTAAGACTGAAACGGTGGGTTTACATCCGTTACAACCTTATCAATAGTCTCAACTGAAGCAAGTCCAACTACTTATGGCAAATTATGGGAACATATAACTGAAAATAATAAACAAGAATGGTCAGTACTATCAGGAATAATATCAGTTTATGATGTTTGGAAACACCCAAATGTAGTAGTAGTAGTAGTAGTAGTAGTAGTAGTAGTAGTAGTAGTAGTAGTAGTAGTAGTAGTAGTAGTAGTAGTAGTAGTAGTAGTAGTAGGTTTGTTATGGGTTAGTGCCATGGGGGAGTTATGACTATTCAGACCTATAATCATTTCATGACAATTACTTCTGGTGTTTTATCGTCAACGTTTGTGTCTCACTCAGTCATGTCATTCAAAGCTAACATGGTCCATGGGGCCGGGGTATTCATCATTATAGAATACAACACACTGGATAACCGAGGACAGTGCAGAGAATCAATAATCTCTCAAAACAAGTACATAGCACCAGCCCACAGACATCTGTAGCTGAGACAATATGAGCCTTCTCAGGTGATGCTTCCTTTCTTACTCCTCCAACAGTTCTTGTGTATATAATCCACATAAGGTATTCCAAGGATTAACTGGTAGCAGAGGATTAATTAACAGTAATTGACAATCAGTGATAACCAAAAGCCAATCAACTAAGTGCCCGTTTACACATCACACAGTCATGTCGCTCCTTCCATGTAGATGAAGGAGAGGAAGTTTGAATGTTCATGGCTCAAGAAAATGGTGGGCCAGGCTTTAGGATAAAGTTCCCAGATACTATTCACACAAATCATACAGGGTAGACTTCATTACATTATCGGGTATGTCCTTGTCATGCCAGCAAGGATGTCCCAGCATGTGTGTCACTGTGTGACACCTGTCACGTCGTCTTCATCAGACACATCAGCATAACTCCGACCTGTCAAACCCGACCCACAGAACCAGGAAATCCACCTCTGTCCAAACAATCAGCTGTCATCAGCTGGTAATCTCTTGACGTAAAGATCAGACAGAAAATTTAAAGTGTTTTTTTTCGCTACAAGTACTAACCTTTATACCTCTGCCAAAGCATTTCAAGTTTCTTTCTATCGATTGTGAATCTTGCTTCGCTGTTACAGTTGTATCTGTCCGGATTCTGGAAATAATTGTCGACCGCTACATCCAGTTTCCAGTCGTGAACGCTCAGACATTGGATCGCTGTTTTTTCTCCGGTTTGTGTGAAGGCAATAAATTGCCTCACTTTGTCCTTTTGTGAACTTTTGAGCTTATGCTGAAAAATATATTATAACGAAGAATTATCAATCAAATACCTAGGAAATGATAAGTTATGTTCACGAAAAATTGACAATACTCACCATGTTCTTACTCCTTTTCTAACTTCCGATCATACATGCGCACAAGATGCATGCTAATTTTAGGGACCAGTCACAACTCGTTCATCCAGATTAAATACAGTTTGTAAGTGTATGGTTCATCGAGGTTATATCTAATGTCTAACTTGCTATTTTAATACAAATCCTTATTGTAATAAATGTATTGATCGGTTTCCACACAGAGCTACTAAATAAGTGTTAATTATTATCAAAACACCCTAAATGTATTAAATAAACCGGTTGCGTTGTATTTGGATCCGGATTGTACAAACTTCAACCTGGTTGGTGAATTTTGGCGATCAACAGGACACAACCAATCAAATATTAGAACGCTTGTTGACAGGTGCTCGCTTCCGTTCACGTGGTCTACATTTCCCGCCGTTTTGGAAAGTGCATTGTTGATAGTGAGAAAGTTACAAGATCTTCGAAATGGCACCCAGAGATTATGCAGCAGAAAAGGGTATGTTTATTTTTATATTATGCCATGTAAACAATTTCAGTTCAAAGATCTAACGTAGTCTATTTCTAGTGTGATGTAAATGAAGGAATATCTTGCATTATAATTGAAACTTGGCTGACCCGCTTTCTAGCACGGCCTGTTCAGCATAGTCTCAGTGTTTAAATATTCGCCAAAATATCATGAATATCGTCGATCAGTTCTGCTGCTTTCGTGAAGTATGAAAAACAGGTTTAAGTTGATTATCATGATTATTGTCAACCGTAGTTAGTACATACAATGTGGTATTGATTTGCGCAAAAGAGTTAAAAACGATAATTAACTTTCCAAGTTAGATCTTTAAATATGACGCCTAACCCCTTCCATTTTATTGCAGAGAAAATATCAACATTCCTCAAGGAGTTCTATCAAGATGGCGATAAGAGGGGAAAGGATTTTGTATATACACAGCAGTTGGTAGGTGTTTTGCTTTTACTGAAACAACAAATATGTTGTGTGTAATCACATCCTTGAATTTGCAGACTTGTATTGCCATGTCTTGTAAAAGTTTCAAAAGTGTAGTCTCTGGTGGAGTATCACCGACCCTACTTGTTTATCCAGCTAGTTGTAACATAGTGGGCAGATTGTGTGTTCTGTCAGTACAGGGTTAGAAATTGGCACTGGTTCTGTAGTCCTTGCCGAAGTGTCCAATAGTAAAGGTATCGTGAAGACAAGTAGAAATTTACCATTATCAAGGGCTTTGCTGTGGACTAAAGATGCTAGTTTCTGCTGCTGCTGCTGCTGTACTTGTGATATTCCCCCACAATGGAAGTGGACAATGAACTTGACCATGTTAACTATTTCAGTTGTTCAAATGGACACTTAATCATGTGATCAGTAGTAGGTCTGTATTTTGCAGTGCCTTTGGCCAATGTGCAGTTCAAGCAAGTTGAGGCATACAAACTGATACAAGACTTAGACTCAACAATGTTTTGATTTTGGTGCCAAATTTCAAGCAATCGTCTGCACATCTAATTATATGTTTTAAACATTTTTATATCTGTCCATCAAGGACGTGGAGGATGCACAGTTTGATCCAATTAGATCTGGCATGATATAGCAGGCGTGTGTATTGATATTCAGAATGTACATTGTCATTGTTGCAATAATTCATATGGAGGCTGTGATACAATGTTACTTGACTAATTACAAATGTCTCTAAAAAAACTACATGGACAAATGCAGAAGTCCCACCAACATTTTGCACTATATCACACTGTTATTAATATAGTAATATCAGTTAGGCTGGGATGATACACCAACAATGCAATCCGATATGCATCACAATACCTTATTCACGATCTGATGCATATCACAATACTTGCATGTACTCTTATCTGCGGAGCGTAAGCTATCTTTCGCATAGACAGCATGGCTAAATACCAGGCACATTGACGATTTATAGTTGGCAGAGTCAAGTATGGCGCACAACTGGAAAAAAATCATTTTCACTACTAAATTAATGTTTGTAGTAACAGTTGTTAAAGCATACACTTAGATATGAATCACTACTTTTTACTTGATACATCCGACTGTGATCAATATTTGCATCGAGAAGTGAAATATCATGATGCATCGGTGTATCGACCACCATTAATAGCAGGCTAGCTATGTTAACAACCTTGATGGTTGTAGATCGCACTAAGGTATGAGGTAGAATAAAGCCAGTGTGTGAAGACGGGTCTCTGTGGAAGTATTGTTATTATGATTTGTTGTTTGCAGATGAAACTTGCCCACAGGGAGCAGGTGAGTCTGGAGATCGACCTGGAACACGTCCGAGAGTATGAGCCTGACCTGGCTGATGCCATTGTTGAAAACGCACGTCGCTATGGCAACTTGTTTGCTGATGCGGTTCAGGAATTACTGCCTGTGTACAAAGAAAGAGATGTAAGTGACAAGACATAGTTACTCTATAGTAAGTGTATGTTTTTATCCTGTGCACTGACTGATGTTATCTTCCTGAATCAGAAAATATGTTGCAGCAACGGTTATCTTGAAACTAGTCAAATACTGACAATGTTATGGGGACTAACCACCATGGCTTTAGTACAGGGATGAGAATTTTCCACTGAATTTTACAAATTTCATTATGTCAAGGATAACTTCTTGTGCATGTCATAACAATATATGCATCACCCACGGCTAACTTTCAGTGTGGGAGGTTTCTTTTAATCATTCTCATCCCTGTGAGTATGATGTAATATTATGTGATATTATGTAATATTATGAACATTTGTTGCATTTAAGCACCTGATTATCTTGATGCTTGACATTGCATTGTGTCGGGGCCTTGACCTCTGTGAAAACTGAACACCTAATTGAGTTGTGGTGTTTTCAGCTTGTGAACAAGGACACTCTGGATGTTTACATCGAACACCGGATGTTGATGGAACAGCGGAGTCACCCGGACGGCCAGGAGGTCACACGAGACCCCATGAACAAATACCCCCCAGAGCTGATGAGGAGATTGTGAGTGGATGACTGTCAACACTTACCAACTCCAGATTTGCAGTATTAATGTAGAAAGATCACCCTGGATTATCTCCCTTGGATTCTCGTTCACGATATCTATTGTAGAATGAAAGTACTGGACTGCTGGTCCTAACTCAATGTGATACATTAAGGATATAGAAAGTCCTTATCACTCAATCATGTAGCAGATAGCCTTGGGGACCCCTTTTGGTTTCTAAAACAGTTGCTTGAAGCATCATGTAGATATTTTCTTTAATCTGAACATGATGTTGGGTCTTGTCTACTGGTCTGGAGCCTGAGTCTGGTAAAATTCTGTTTGGTCAAGTAAGCTCTGTGAACAGTAGTTGATTTTATAACACTTAGATGTACTGAAACTAATGATTGGTTCCGACTTGTGATGTTGGTGTTGATGTTTCAGTGAAGTGTACTTCAAGGCTCAGGGGGATCAGAAGCATTCCGCTATTCGAGAGGTCAAGGCCGAGCACATTGGCAAGCTGGTGTGTGTCAAGGGCATCGTGACCCGAGCGACGGAGGTTAAACCCATGATGACCGTCGCGACCTACACCTGTGACACGTGCGGCAATGAAACCTACCAGCCTGTAAGTAGCCAGAGCGTTCATGTTGTCCAGTCACCATGGTGACTTCAAGCCTCTGTAGTCCCCAGTGGTCATGTTGTCCAGTCACTGTGGTGACTCCAGGCCTCTGTAGTCTGCTTGCATGAGAGCCGACCTGTGAAGGTCGAGTGACTACAGTGTGTTGTTTGTTGACTCCCTGTCTTATGACGACAAATCATTGCTCTTGCTATCTACCACCTGTCTGCCAGGTCAAGGAAGAAGCACTGTCCGGCAGCTCCGCCATCATGGTGTTGCTCTCTGCAGCTAATAACAAGTACTCATATTTGAACACTTTCTTGTTTGTATCTGTCAATCTGTCAAGATCTTCAAGGAAATTCAAGATGTGGCTTGTTTTAATAATGTTAAATGAAAGAAACTTTAGTATCGGTGAATACCACTGGCAGTTGTTCCTTGTAGAAGTGAATCCTCGACCAGTCATGGCATACCTAACTCCAGTCATGGTATACCTCATTGAACAGTGGAATATGAGGGCTATGATTCTATACCAGACCGATGCTTCAGTTTTGTTACTATTTTGAACTGGTATGATAACTGATGGAGCATCTAATGGTGACTTGTGTTGTTGCAGATCAACTCACCGTCGTTCATGCCGCTGCTGATGTGTCCCAGCCAGGAGTGCACCGTCAACCGCTCCGGGGGGAGGCTCTACCTGCAGACTCGGGGCTCCAAGTTCGCCAAGTTTCAGGAAATTAAGATCCAAGAACATGTAAGCTTACATTTTAGTCTCAGATTGAGGCTTAAGCGTTTCCATTCCTGTAAATCTGAAGTATTCCTATTTCAACTCTATCAACACGACAGGCTGGTAAACCAACTACAGAGAAGTCATGTCAAAATAATACTTAATGTTGTGAACCTCCTACCTGTCATTTTCATTCATTTATTGGGCGGTCGGGTAGTCTAGTGGTTCAAGCGTTCGCTCGTCACGCCGAAGACCATGGTTCGATTCCCGACATGGGTACAATGTGTGAAGCCCTTTTTTCTGGTGCCCCCCCCCCAGCCAGGATATTGCTGGAATATTGCTAGAAGCCGCGTAAAACAATACTCAATCAACAAACAATCATTCGTTTATTAGATTTATCACTTTATCACTCTTTAAGACATATTTCATGTTAATTTATCTTAGTTTATCAATATATAAAAAACATTATACACTTTCCCATAATTCGCCATAAGCAGTTGGACTTGCTTCAGTTGAGACTATTGATAATGTTGTAACGGATGTAATCCCACCGTTGTCTGTGCCGAGTGTCGTGCAGTTGCTGATGTATAGTGTTACCATGAACTGTTTGTTTCAGAGTGACCAAGTTCCGGTGGGCAACATTCCCAGGAGCATGACCATCTTCTGTCGAGGAGAAACGACCCGCCTGGCCCAGCCCGGCGACCATGTCAGCATCACTGGTGTATCCTTCCATAGATGACAGTCACCACAGGCCTGGCACTTAGTAGCAATATTCACCATGTGAAGAGAAAAGCAGAGTTAAAAACGCTCTTCGTGTCAGTGCAAGGGACGTAGGGAAGAGTTTGTGCCATATTTCATACAGGTGTTTATCTAGACCTGCACTTGGGCCGATATTCCGCCCCCGGTCTGTAGCATGTCGACCCAAATTCATAGACCCGTGAAGATCCAGGGTAGAGTAGGTCTACAGCAACCCAAGCTTGCGGTGAAAGGTGACTGGTTGTCGTAGGAGGCGACTAACTAGATCGGGTGTTCTCACTCACTGACTTGGTTGATGCATGTCATCAAATCTCAATTGCGTGGATTGATGCTCATGATGTCAATCACTGGATTGTCAGGTCCAGACTTGATTATTTACAGACCGCTGTCATATAGCTGGAATATTGTTAGTGCTGCGTTAAACAACAGAAAAACATAAACAGGAATTTCAAGTTTCCCAGTTCATGTGAATGTAATGCCCTTGTAGAGGTAACTTGTATCACAGATCGCAGGACCAGGAAACATGGAAGAGGCGTTAATGCTTAGATTTACATAATTCCACTGAATACAGTCTTAAATACCCTATTTAGAAAATTAGATCCTAAAAGAAATTGTATGTTTTCTCAATTTGCCTACAAAGGGCACTGTTTCGAATCCTAGATAAATCCTCGTCCTATCTGCAGATAATTCAATAGCATGGTGATATTTATCATGTATAATTAGTTTTGTCAATGTCCTGACTGACCTGGAGGGAGGTGAAGACAACCTGAAGAATAAGACATGACCCTGACATGATAATTATACTTCTCACAAGTTACACCTGATCTACAGCTTCAACATTGGGGTGATAAGTCTGTTATTAGCACAGAAACCTGTTGTCATGTTACCGTCTTTAACTTTGTAAGATATTTCTGCCGATGGTGAAGACCGGCTTTGGACAATTACAGCAGGGACTCCTGTCCGAGACTTACATGGAGACACACGTGAGTGAAATAGTGCTAGCTTTGCACACAAAATGTTCACACATGATTGAAACAACAACAACTGATAAATGTGATCATGGTAAAGCTGTTCTGATGGACACACATGCAATGTTTTGGGTATTTTGGTTTGTATTTGTTTCCTGTCAGAAGTTCCCAGATCCGTGGAAACAGTGTTTCTTGATCCTTATCAAGCTTCAAGCAGGCTTGGAAAGACCTTGAATTTCAAAGGCCCTCTTCAAAAGCCTTGACAGACTTAATTTTTTAATTTGATGGTCGTGAGAATAAATCTTAAACTTTGCAATGTTTGTACTGCTGTTTAGGTCTTTTGACGAATACAGTATGCTGGATTTTATCAAATATTAATGTTATTGCTAATAATCTAACTGAAATGGCCTTGAAATGTGAGTGTTCCATATCTGTGTGAACGCTGTGTATTCTGATACATCTGACAGAGTTGAAACATTTGCATGTCATAAACTCTGGTCTTCGCAGAAAAACACCCAGTTCAAAGCAAACTGACACTAAGCAGTTCAGGGCTGGAGGCATGTGTTGTCTTTCAGTTAACTTTAGCAATTCTCTTCAAGAAAGTTCGGATCTGTATGTTTTGTGAACTTGTTGTTTGTCCTCGCAGCGAATCATCAAGATGAACAAGACTGAGGACGATGAGCTGGACGCACAGGAGCTGAGCGAGGAGGAGCTGAAGCAGCTTGCAGGTAGAGCCACATCCTTGTGTGATGTTGTGTAATTGAAACAAAATAGCATGCCTCCAGTACCCCATCTGTTTTCTGACATGGTTAGCCTTGTGGTACAAGAATTCACTCGTCAGCCGAAGGACATTGTTTCATTCCCCACATGGGTCAGTGTCAGGTGTGCCGTCTGAAACAGAACTTATGGTCGGAACTACAACAACTGTATTTGCAAATATGTTTAAGCTTGATTCTGATAGGACCATTTGTGACTTTCAGATTATGAAATGTGCTGATAGTAAATTGAAACGCATAAAGCAACGAAGATCAGGATGTTTACATTAAATAATTAAAGCAGCTGTGAATAGGTTTGAGACAGTCGACGAATCCCAGAGTTGTATAAAATAAACCCATCCTACATGAACGTGCCGGATGTCCAACTGAGTGTAAATGAAATGCGCTTATGTGAGAATCTGGTGGGTACATTGTAATATACAGCTGTTACTCATAGTGCACAATGTTCATGCAGGGGTGAGATTCTTCCGCAGATCCGTGAATTTTAGTGACCACAAATTTGTTAAAATATGATGGCTGGCCCCATAAACATCCCCAAATTATGGACCATGCTCAATTGCAAAGAAGTTTCAGCTGCAAAGAAAAATATCTATTCTCATCCCTGTTTATCAGAGTCGTGGCCTGACGTTGTTGTTGTTTTCCAGAGGACGACTTCTACGACAAGTTGGCCAGCAGCATCGCCCCGGAGATCTACGGACACGAGGATGTGAAGAAGGCGCTGCTGCTCCTGCTGGTGGGCGGAGTCGACCAGTCGCCCAAGGGGATGAAGATCAGAGGTAGGGCGTGTGTGGAGCAGGCATAAAATGGTTTCTGACAGGTGCTTCTCTCACTCACTTCAAAAATGGGTTGTTTGGTAGGCTAGTGTTTGCTCGTCACACTGAGGTACTGGGTTTTATTGCCACATGGTACAAATTGTGTCTGCCAACCATAATATTCATGGCATTCTACTAAAAGTGCCTTAAAAAGAAACTAGATGGATATTAGGCAAACATTGGGTCAGAGGTTCTTGTCCTAGAGGTGTTGTATCAGCTTGAATCATAGGAACCGTTGTGACACCAACAAGGTAGTTGTCTTTCTAAGGAAACAGAAATTTAGTATTTATGGCAGCAGCATGATCAGTTTGAATTTATTCAATTATATTTTGGAAATTTCCATGTCTTGTTTGTTTACAAGCTTAGTCAGTTTTCCCAGCAAATGATGGATTTGTTGAACAATGTGCATGTGTCATCACGTTTTGGTGGAAATGTAACTGTACAAATACTAATAGTCAAGCCTCATGAATGACGCGATGGGGTCTTTGTTGGTCTCTGTGTAGTAGATTGAGAACTTTCAGAAAGTTGATGAATGTTAAGTCACTAACAAGAGGGCTGACATGTTCCAATGTGTTCATACTTACCGTTGCCTGTGTGGTCTGCTTGCCTCCTCCTCCTCCTCCTCCTCCTCCTCACCACTCCGCTGTCTGTTACAGGGAACATCAACATCTGCCTGATGGGCGACCCCGGTGTGGCCAAGTCACAGCTCCTGTCCTACATCGACAGACTCGCACCCAGAAGTACGTCCACACCAATCCCTGTGTCTGTTTGTGTTCTTGTTTAGGATTAACTATGAACCATTTCTTTATGATTGAAGTCAAAACGGGCTTCATCACCAATACTCGGTTGTGGCACCTCGAATAGCTGCGTGAATGCTGATTTGGTGTACGTAATAAGCTCTCTCACTGAATTTAGAACTCGATGACCTGTTCATTCCCTGCCAACAGTTCAGGGTGCAACTTGGCTACATCACCAGGTTGGCCTGATGTTAAGGAGGTCCTCAGAGCCAGTAGAATGTCAAGCTTTTTAGTGGGTGTCCAAACATGTCATCACTGTTCAGGCTGGTAGAGGTTTCAGGTTGAGCGGAATCCCAGCAGGATCTAATAGGGAGCTCCGTTCATGTAACTAGTGCTCGTTGATGGACTGCCATTGTCAGTTCATCAAATATTGTTTCAAAGATACTTGGGACACTTTACTGCATGGGGTGACTAAGGGACTGCACCATTGTCCTCCATTGAAGTATTGGGCTACACACTTGGCTGGTGGCTAGTTAATTGGAATAAACATTACCATTGTGTTGTCCACTGGAAGCACGAGGATGGAATAAAGATGCAGTGACTGAACTGTGGTTGTTACAGTGGTTATTACATTGGTTGTTACAGTGGCTGTTACAGTGGTTGTTACTGTGGTCGTTACAGGTGTGGCGGCCGTTACTGTGGTTGTTACTGTGGTCGTGGTCGTTACAGTGGTTTGTTTGCTTCAGGTCAGTACACGACGGGGCGGGGCTCGTCGGGCGTCGGTCTGACGGCGGCGGTGATGAAGGACCCCCTGACAGGGGAGATGACGCTGGAGGGCGGGGCACTTGTCCTGGCAGACCAGGGTGTGTGCTGTATTGACGAGTTCGACAAGATGATGGACGGCGACAGAACAGCCATCCATGAGGTCATGGAACAGCAGACCATCTCCATCGCCAAGGTAACTCACCTAATAAATCACTACATGCACTCATCATGGATTTGAATCCCAAATTTGCCGTGATGATCATTCTCGAGGGTTGTCAGCACCATACCTGGCTCATGGGTTTCTCTGGTAAATGTAAGCCATGCAGAACTTTGCATAGGACATCACCAGTCAAGATTACAGCCTGGGATATAACTTGAAATCGCTTCATTGCATTCAATTCAAACTCACTCACTCATCCTTGCATTCAGCAGGAAATGATGGCACTACTGCTTTTGCCATTAATTATTTTTACAATTTATTTTGTTTTTGGACTATTTTCTCAAATATTAAAATCAGTATGTGCTTTTCAAACATTTGGTAGGACACTTTTATATGCACCAACTGAAGACATGTGAGAAGACTTATCCCTTCAAGTCAACTTTGTTGCTATCTGACAGTAAGATAAGTATTATGAACATTTACATTGTTGGGATGAACTGTAAACTAAGGGTACTTCCAGACGAAGCTTCCAGGCCCCCGAGCCACTGGTTGTGAAGTGTATCGTGAGTTATTTACTTGCATGTCTGTGTTCCTCGTTACAGGCAGGGATCATGACAAGTCTGAACGCCCGCGTGTCGATACTGGCCGCAGCCAACCCCGCCTACGGCCGCTACAACCCCAAGAAGACCATCGAGCAGAACATCCAGCTCCCGGCCGCTCTGCTGTCCAGGTTTGACCTGCTGTGGCTCATCCAGGACAAGGCTGACCGAGAGAACGATCTCAGGTGAGGCAAGCGGGGCGGACTTCTTACACGTCTTGGATGTTTAGTGTATTGAGTGTTGTCACTTGTTAAACAGGAAGCGGTTATTTAGGTATATTGTTTCTGTTTCAGACTGGCCCAGCACATCACGTACGTCCACCAGCACAACATCCACCCACCCTGTCAGTTCACGCCCCTGGACATGAAGCTGATGAGGTAAGTCCTGAAACACTGCCGATAGATGAGGAAATAACTGCCATTCAAGAAGTTGGCAGATAAGTACAACTTTATGGATAACAACTTCTGGTTGATAACGGTGTGATAGTCTACATTCAAACTTTGCTACAGTAGACGACGGTTAAAACGAACACGCTTATAACGAACTGAAGGATATAATGAACTGAAATTAGTAGTCCCTTTCAGTTTACTGTAGATGCAATAAACCAGAGGTTGTTATGCATAAAGATGTACATTTTTTCTTTGATAATGACATCTGGTGAATGACTACTAAACATTTATAAAAGAGTAGAGTCTAAAAAAGTCTTCAATTATTGTTAGAATTGTTTGAATCTGTTTTCTTGGTAAATTTTCGGTAGGAAAAATGCCAATAAGCATTGATTGGCGTGGTTTAATATATGTTGGCGTTGTTTGTAGACGTTACATCGCTCTCTGCAAGAAAAAGAACCCAGCTGTGCCGGAGGGCTTGGCTGAATTCATCACCGGCGCCTACGTGGAGATGAGGAAGGAGGCTCGTAACAACAAGGACATGACCTTCACCAGCGCCAGGACGCTCCTCGCCATCCTCCGCCTCTCGACTGCACTGGTGAGACATCCTCAGATTGTACTATTGACAGCTCTACGTTCTAAACTCAGTGGTGGCGTTCACTCGTCGTGCTCACGGCCAGGGTTTGATTCCATACATGGGTACAATGTGTGAAGTCCATATGTGATCTCCCCCGTCAGGATATTGCTGGAATATTGCTACAAGTAACAAACACCCTCCTGGGACAATCCCAGTACATACGTCATGATTCCCTGGCGACTATGTCGTCCCGCATGTACCCGGGGACGTTGATGTGTAGTTTCCCAACAGACCCTGATGTAGCGGAGTGTAGTTCTATTAAATGTCCACAGCTTGATGGAATACACAAAGATAGGTTCTTAAGTCCATTGTTTAAGTTGCTGCTATGAAACGAATGTGTATCATCACGCATAACAAAAACAATACTGCATAGCTTCCTATAGTATTGATCCAAATTACACGTTATAATGAGCAATATCAGGAGATAGAAGTTCTGCAGATCATTGCGTCGTGCTGTTTGACATGCTGTGTTGTTCTGAAGGCCCGTCTCCGACTAGCCGACACCGTGGAGAAGGAGGATGTGAACGAGGCGATGCGGTTGATGGAGATGTGCCGAGACTCGCTCAACCCGCACCACGACATGCACACCAGGTGAGTGACTTACTGCGACTAGTTGGACATGTTGTCTGATCTTCTACACTGATACAACACCTGTCTTGAGGACTCAGGACACAGCCATTTGGCTTCATTTCTCTACCACCACCAACTCTGCCTTCACTGGTTCTCCCACGGAGCTCAGAATCAATAGGGTGTATTTAGTATCCACAAGGACATAGTGGTGCAGTCTTCATTTTGTACCCTGGGGCGGTCGGGTAGCCTAGTGGTTAAAGCGTTCGCTCGTCACGCCGAAGACCCGGGTTCGATTCCCGACATGTGTACAATGTGTGAAGCCCATTTCTGGTGTCCCCCGCCGTGATATTGCTGGAATATTGCTAAAAGCGGCGTCAAACCATACTCACTCACTCACTCATTTTGTACCCCTGGGAAATACTATTTAAAAACTTTGAACACACAATGCCATTTAGAAAGTGGTCAAATGTCACATTTGGGAAAACACTTTCTAAGTAAGGTACAGATTCTCGTACTTTTTTGGATTGAGGCCTGTTCGGAATTCAAACCCACACTGCCAGAGTGAGGCACCTAATCGCCAGCACACTAAGTCAGCGATCTAACCCACTCAGCCACTGAGGCCTCCACAACAATGACAGTCAGAGAAGTGAGTTTCAGAAATTCTCACAAATTACATTTTGAAAGAAAGGTAAACTATTCAGATGATATAATTATCAAAATAAGACAAACAAGGGGGAACTGTTTTACCAGATGAGGTACTGATCTGTCAGTATTGGTCGTACTGTTCCACTGACTGCCACAAGTACACTAGTGTTGAACTTGTCCTGCCTGCGTCAACATCATTTAGAAATCAATAGCACTGGGAATCAAGAAATCTTGTTTTGTTTCCGTTTTACGCCAAAGACCCGGGTTCAATTCCCCACATGGGTACAATGTGTGAAGCCCATTTCTGGTGTCACCCCGCTGTGATGTTGCTGGAATATTGCTAAAAGCGGCGTAAAACCATACTCACTCACTCACTCACTTGTAGGGGAAAAGATTATGTATAAAATATACAGTGATGAGAGATTTTCAGGGTTTTTTCAAAAGGTTTTGAAAGTATTTTAGATAAGTTATGTATATTGATAGCAACAGTAAGTATTTTTAATTTTACATTTTATTTCTGGTTGGCATGATTGAAAAAATACACTGTTTTAGTTAATTTATCAGATTCGTAATTCAAGTTTCAAAAAAAACATCTTGCCAAAGATTATTCACACAAATTTAACCAGAATGTGTGTTTTAGATAGTTTTCAGATTTCTATTTGAGAGAGCTAAATCTAAATTATATTTGCAGGGTACAAAACGTGACTGACCAGATCTTCGCTGTGATCCGTGAAATGGCCCCGGCCAAGGGTGTGAAGTCAGTGAAAGTGAGCGACATTCTGGAGCAGTGTACATCTAAAGGATTCAAACCGGACCGGGTCGACGCCTGCATAGACGAGTACGAGGAACTGAATGTATGGCAGGTCAACAACGCCAGGACAAGACTCACCTTTGTGTAAAACTGGCGATTCTTGGGACTGACTGAAACACTAGCAATTAACATAGTTCTGGGTTAATCAAGTCATTGATGAAAAACAACCATCGTCATTTCATGGACGTCTTGGACAAGAAATTCGAATCACTGCCGAAGCAGGAAAGTAACAGCTTGGAACATGTCCCCCTGGCTTTGGGGTGTAGAGAACATATACTGTTCATCTGACATTGTCAATCTCGTGCATTCTATCATAAGGTCATGATTTCAAGGAAGCAGTTTTAATGTAACTTTACTATTTGTATTTTACGAGTTGTCTGACTGGAGTGCTCCTGTGGCGAGTGCTGTGTACATAGTATCACCTCACTGTATATATCATGTCTGTAGAATCATTACTGGTATTATCGTCATCACGAAACAACTTCTCTATTAAGAGGAGACTAGTTTTGAACATGTACAAATTTGTAAATTCATTCTGCCTGAAATAAATTCTTCATCTCATGTTGCAAGTTGTGCTCTGCCAGGTGAAACTTGTGTGTGGTGTGGATGGTGTGAAACTGAGGCCTGTGTTGGGACACTGCTTGCGATCTCTTGGTAGTAAAGTGATTAAGTGGTGACAGTGTGTTTTGTTTGGGGAATGGGATCAGGTGGTCAGGCTCGTTGACTGGGTTGATGCATGTTGATTGCGTTGATCGATCATGATATTAATCGCTGGATTGTCTGGTCCATACTCGATTATCTACATACCGCCGTCATATAGCTGGAATATTGCTGAGTGCGGCGTTAAACAACAAACCAACCAACCAACCTAACCAAACTGACAAGCATGGTTGTTTTTTGGCAAGCATGGGTTGCTGAAGACCCATTGTACCCCGGACTTTCACAGATCGAAATCCATATCACCCTGGAGGTGCTCACTAACGTATATAGAGGCTTTTAGTTTATTATACAGCTTATTGTCGAGAGATTTAATTGAAGCCTTGTACCCTTATCAGTCAAGCCACAGATTCACTTGCTACCCATGCTACTTCGCTCTTAGAACAAGGACAGGGTGCAGGGGCCCCGTTCTGACCAGGAATCCCAGCGCGTGGTGTGGGACTACTTCACTCTTAGAACAAGGACAGGGTGCAGGGGCCCCGTTCTGACCAGGAATCCCAGCGCGTGGTGTGGGACTACTTCACTCTTAGAACAAGGACAGGGTGCAGGGGCCCCGTTCTGACCAGGAATCCCAGCGCGTGGTGTGGGACTACTTCACTCTTAGAACAAGGACAGGGTGCAGGGGACCTGTTCTGACCAGGAATCCCAGCGCGTGGTGTGGGCCTGATTTGTGAACTTGGAACGTTCAGGTTAGTTATCACCTGCCAAGAAGTGGAAGGGGGATATAGGAATGGGTGCTGTCCATCCCACCCATCACATTTTGTTTTCGGAGCATAACTCAAAAAACATAAACAATATCTTAAACAACTTGGCACATAGATAGGTCCAGTGGTGAACTGGTGCCGTTTGATAGTTTGGTATTTTTAAAAAAAATATTTTTTCGAGTTTCCATAGCAAACGACTTTGACTTAGACTGAAAATGGCAGTACACTATTTCTTGCCTTGCACACAACGGGACATGTCGTATTGGCGGGGGAGATGAGTATTTTATCCTTGTTTCGCTCTAGGGATGCAATACTGCTGATGCAGTGGAAGTCACTCTCACCTGGTGCAATGAGACCTGTATATCCTGACCCTCTGTTGGGACTTGCCACGGGATTATAATACAATATATACAACTTCACTAATGAAATATGTTTAATAACACATCTGATTGGTTGTACAGTGAAGTGACCTGGTTGTGTTTGAGCACACAAGACAATCGTTTAGTCTCTGAAAATATATAATTTTGATTGAAACAAATAACTCCCTTTAAACTGAAAAGATGCCAACTTCCTGAGTTTTCATCCCAGTTCTGTTAACTGTTTGGCTGTTCTCATCTTCTCCAGTCTGTTTCGCTCTCATTGGTGGTGCCATGCCCACAATGGGGGTGTTTGCGGTCATCTGGTGGTGCCCTGTCCACAATGGGATGTTTGCGGTCATCTGGTGGTGCCCTGTCCACAATGGGGTGTTTGCAGTCATCTGGTGGTGCCCTGCCCACAATGGGATGTTTGCGGTCATCTGGTGGTGCCCTGCCCACAATGGGGTGTTTGCGGTCATCTGGTGGTGCCATGCCCACAATGGGGTGTTTGCGGTCATCTTGTGGTGCCCTGCCCACAATGGGATGTTTGCGGTCATCTGGTGGTGCCCTGTCCACAATGGGGTGTTCGCTGTCATCTGGTGGTGCCCTGCCCACAATGGGGTGTTTGCTGTCATCTGGTGGTGCCATGCCCACAATGGGGTGTTTGCTGTCATCTGGTGGTGCCATGCCCACAATGGGGTGTTCGCTGTCATCTGGTGGTGCCATGCCCACAATGGGGTGTTTGTGGTCATCTGGTGGTGCCCTGTCCACAATGGGGTGTTTGCTGTCATCTGGTGGTGCCCTGCCCACAATGGGGTGTTTGCTGTCATCTGGTGGTGCCCTGTCCACAATGGGGTGTTCACTGTCATCTGGTGGTGCCATGCCCACAATGGGGTGTTTGCGGTCATCTGGTGGTGCCCTGTCCACAATGGGGTGTTTGTGGTCATCTGGTGGTGCCATGCCCACAATGGGGTGTTTGTGGTCATCTGGTGGTGCCATGCCCACAATGGGGTGTTTGCGGTCATCTGGTGGTGCCCTGTCCACAATGGGGTGTTTGCTGTCATCTGTTGGTGCCCTGTCCACAATGGGGTGTTTGCGGTCATCTGGTGGTGCCCTGTCAACAATGGAGTGTTTGCGGTCATCTGGTGGTGCCCTGTCCACAATGGAGTGTTTGCGGTCATCTGGTGGTGCCCTGTCCACAATGGGGTGTTCGCTGTCATCTGGTGGTGCCCTGCCCACAATGGGATGTTTGCGGTTATCTGGTGGTGCCCTGTCCACAATGGGGTGTTTGCGGTCATCTGGTGGTGCCCTGCCCACAATGGGGTGTTTGCTGTCATCTGGTGGTGCCCTGCCCACAATGGGGTGTTTGTGGTCATCTGGTGGTGCCCTGTCCACAATGGGGTGTTTGCGGTCATCTGGTGGTGCCCTGCCCACAATGGGATGTTTGCGGTCATCTGGTGGTGCCATGCCCACAATGGGGTGTTTGCGGTCATCTGGTGGTGCCCTGTCCACAATGGGGTGTTTGCGGTCATCTTGTGGTGCCCTGTCCACAATGGGGTGTTGGCGGTCATCTGGTGGTGCCCTGCCCACAATGGGGTGTTTGCGGTCATCTGGTGGTGCCCTGCCCACAATGGGGTGTTTGCGGTCATCTGGTGGTGCCCTGTCCACAATGGGGTGTTTGCTGTCATCTGGTGGTGCCATGCCCACAATGGGGTGTTCGCTGTCATCTGGTGGTGCCATGCCCACAATGGGGTGTTCGCTGTCATCTGGTGGTGCCCTGTCCACAATGGGGTGTTCGCTGTCATCTGGTGGTGCCCTGTCCACAATGGGGTGTTCGCTGTCATCTGGTGGTGCCATGCCCACAATGGGGTGTTCGCTGTCATCTGGTGGTGCCATGCCCACAATGGGGTGTTTGCGGTCATCTGGTGGTGCCCTGCCCACAATGGGGTGTTTGCGGTCATCTGGTGGTGCCCTGCCCACAATGGGGTGTTTGATGTCATCTGGTGGTGCCCTGCCCACAATGGGGTGTTTGCGGTCATCTGGTGGTGCCCTGCCCACAATGGGGTGTTTGCGGTCATCTGGTGGTGCCATGCCCACAATGGGGTGTTCGCTGTCATCTGGTGGTGCCCTGTCCACAATGGGATGTTCGCTGTCATCTGGTGGTGCCCTGTCCACAATGGGGTGTTCTCTGTTGGTGCCCTGTCCACAATGGGGTGTTCTCAGATCTCTGTTGGTGCCCTGTTCAAAATGGAGTGTTCTCAGTTCTCTGGTGGTGCCCTGTCCGGAAGGGGGTGTTCTCTGTTGGTGCCCTGTCCACTATGGGGTGTTTGCTGTCATCTGTTGGTGTCCTGTCCACAATGAGGTGTTCTCAGTTCTCTGTTGGGTGTCCTGTCCACAATGGAGTGTTCTCAGTTTTCTGTTTGTGCCCTGTCCATTGAGGTGTTTGCTGTTCTCTGATGGTGCCCTGTCCACTGAGGTGTTCGCTGTTCCCGTTTGGTGCCCTGTCCACAGTGAGGTGTTCGCTGTTCTCTGATAGTGTCGTGTTCACAGTTGGGCTTTGCTGTTTGGTGCTTTTACCGTCTCCAAAGTGGGTTGTTCTCTGTTCGGTGCTTGTACTGTCTCCACAATGCATGGTATGTTCGCTGTACCGTGATTGTACCATCTCCACAGTGCGGTGCTCGCTGTTCGGTGCTTGTACAATATGCACAGTGGGGTGTTTGCTGTTCCATGCTTGTACCATCTCCACTGAGGGGTATTCGCTGTCCGGTGTGTGTACCGTCTCCACAGTGGTTTGTTCGTGGTTCTGTGGGTATACCGTCTCCACGGTGGCGTGTTCGCTGTTCTGTGCGTGTACCGTCTCCTCAGTGGGGTGTTCGCTCTTAGCTTTTGATATCTTCCCCATTAAGCGGAGTTCCCTGTTCGCTGCTACTTTCTCCTCTAAGCGGCTTTTCCTGTACATTGTCCGCTCATAGTACCAGCCCTCTAGGCCAGGCCTGGTATCTCCGTAAAACATCTTCAACTGGCCACCCTTAGAAATGGCAGTTCGCGCGACAAGAGCGTACCGCGTCCTAACGCCATCCTTTATGATCTTCAGCGCACAGTTTGGCCTGCTGGAAGAGTGGTTGATGAACACCGCCACGTTCTTTTGCCCATCTACTGGTTCGCCATCCATGTTGCGATTCCCGTCCAAATACATCCCGTTCGGCAGATGGATAACCCTATTGGCTACCCCACATTGGGTATACATATCTGACCTCTCGTTCTTGACCTTTTGACCGATGACTTCACCAATATACTCGCACACAGTCTGCCCTTGCATGATATCCTGGGTTGCGAAGCATCCGTAACCGATGTAGTCGTCAATTCTCGCCACCATCGGCTGAGACATGGGGACACAGCTGGGAGCGGGTGTTGATCTGAATCTGGTCATGCGGCAAATGTCCACGTGAAAGCCGCAATAGCTTTTCCTTATGTCCTTCAGTCTGGCCAGGGGGCGCCACTGAGTCACAAACAGACGGTACCTTCTGGAGATCTCCAGCAAGTCTTCATCCTCAGTGAGACTTGCGACGAGGCGACAATATTCTACATGCATGGCTCGGGAGGGTAGGGCGTTCTCACCTTTGTTGACCAGGGCTGCGAATCGGTGGAGGAATGGACACGGCATGCCATATCTCCACCCCGGGATTGACAGGTTCCGACGTACGCGAGTTAGTTTTGTTTTCTGTGGCCATTGTTCCATGTTAAATTTACCGCCTTTATTGCGCGTGGGGACATATTCGTGTGGAACTCAAGGTGCAAGGTGACTGGTCTGGGGAAGCATGGAGAACACATCACCCAAGAGACCGATTTTATTTTTCGAGTATTTGAGATACAAATTTAATGAGACATGTCCTTAACAATAAGTTCTGCAGTTAGGAATGGTTTGAACGATCTGCGTTTGATTGATTGATTGGTTATTCAAAAGTTTTATAGGTGTTCGGGCAACTAGGGCCAATTACACCTTGCCCATAATAAATCTTTGCTAATTACCTAGATAGTTCATAGAGTAGGGAAACTGCCACATGCTTTAATACAAGCAAGGGGGGCGGTCGGGTAGCCTGGTGGTTAAAGCGTTCGCTCGTCACGCCGAAGACCCGGGTTCGATTCCCGACATGGGACAATGTGTGAAGCCCATTTCTGGTGTCCCCCGCCGTGATATTGCTGGAATATTGCTAAAAGCGGTGTAAAACCATACTCACTCACTCACTAATACAAGCAAGAATGACATTCTGAACGTCATGGCGAACGATATTTCCAGAACATAAACGTCTAGTCAATATTGAGAACTGTTAGAGACTCCACCATTGCCTTACCCTGATTGACATATTTTTGGCAAGTAAGTAAATAATGAGCCACATTGTCAACCTGATTACACACTGGACACTATGCAGAAATGTTTTTATTGTTAACATTGAGATAAGCACCAAGACCACAATGGACGATCTGCGTTACAATCATGGCAAAGTTCGACCCGGGTTCAAAACGATTATGCCGACAGGCCGCGCATGCATACCACGTAACCAGTGTACTGGATTTATATGCACCGTATTTGGTAATGTGTGTGCACGTATCTCTGTTGGCAACACATGCAACTCATCTGGTCAGGATCACATACAAGCATGCATATGGTCATGCATGACAGTGCCTCCGCGATCACTGCGTCACTGCGTCAAATAGCGTGATTCTGATGAGAAAGATTGAGACGAGGCGCCACTTCAGAAACGAAGCTGTCACAGCGATGAATATTGAGTAATCTATCAACCCCGCCCCACACTAACAATCAACCATGGGGGACAGTATGGCGGTATCTAATACATAAGATATCACTTTGTGCCTAAACTACGGTAAACACTTTGAGTGGTCGGTGCAACAATGTGGTACACGCCTTGCCGATGTCTGCGCTTGTTGGTGGAACACGACATGGCAGTAGCAGGAGAAAGACTTAAAGTCTCGCGAATGTTATCAATACGGAAGCCTTTTAGGGCCACTTGTTTTTAATTAAAACAAAATCTTGAAATTAGATGTTAGGTTGAAATTTCAAGATACTAACTTGAAGTTTCAACCTAGTATCTTGAATTTTTCGAGATACATTCAAGATAATCATCTTGAAAATTCAACTTAATTAGTATCTTTAAAATTCAACTTAATCAGTATCTTGAAAATTCAACTTAGTATCTTGAAATTTCAAGTTGGTTGCACTCAGCAATGTTCCAGCAATATGACGGCAGTCTGACCACCCGATCCCTTTAGTCGCCTCTTACGAAAAGCAGAGTCGCCTTTTACGGCAAGCATGCATGGGTTGCTGAAGACCTATTCTACCCCGGATCTTAACGGGTCTGAAATATCAAGATAGTATCTTGAAATTTCAACTAAGTATCTTGAAATTTCAACTTAGTATCTTGAAATTACAAGACAGTATCGATTTCCTTTAAAAAACACATTGCTCCACAACAACAAAACCAAATGGCCCTAAAAGGCTTCCGTAATCAATTTGTATTGACCTTTTTCACACTTCGCTACTTCCGGTTTGAAAGCGAGGCTTGAACATTATTCTTATTCTTATCACTGACAAAATATTCTATTGTTATCTGGTCTCCTTACTGATATAAATTTATCAAGTGAGTCAGGCCGTTCTGTTGTGATTTCAATTTCCAATATTCATGACCACCTGGTAATCCCCAGTGCAGTTTATGGTAGCTGACCAGACTTAATACAAATCCTACTGGGATCGCGTCAGTTGCGAGTTGTATTTGAAGTCAAGTAGACAATATTGACCTTTTGACTATATCTAGATAGATCTAGATGTCCGAAACTAACAAAATTGATATAAGTTATCTTATTGTAACTTATTGAGAGTGAGTGAGTGAGTATGGTTTTATGCCGCTTTTAGCAATATTCCAGCAATATCACGGAGAGGGACACCAGAAATTGGCTTCACACATTGTACCCATGTCGGAAATCGAACCCGGGTCGTCGGCGTGACGAGCGAACGCTTTAACCACTAGGCTACCCGACAGCTAACTTATTAAGAATTAACAATCATAAACAAATAAGAATTTTGCATCAGTTGTGTATTTGGTGAACATTGTAATGGACTCAAATACATTCCAATAAATTATTAGACCTCTAGATCTACTAGTGCCGCTGTGATTGTGAATAGTATTAGATAGCGCATGAGGTGTAATATTGCAACTGAATTATTGCATAAAGGGCGTGTGAATATTTAAAGAGAAGAACAGCAATTTTGTAAACAATATTTCTACCAAAATGTTATTTACTTTTCTGTACCAAATTAATCATGTCATGAAATGAAGAAATCCCCAACTAATTAAAGGCCAGTAAATGTTCAGTCTACATGTGATCTTTATGTAATGTACAGAAACAGATAACTCTTTAACAGTCTGTATTCAATTATTTCAAATTCATAAATTGAGATTGAGATTACTATAAATTATTTTTATTGATGTTGTGTAATTCCCATGGGTATTGCAATCATAATTCATTTATTCCCTTTGTTTAATTGTGAAATCCATCTGGTTTTTTTTACACATACATGTTTTGAAACGTTTCAAACAAAATAATTACTTTTGTGCAAGCAAATGCCATGTTATGTTTTATTGATTATTAATCATATTAATTTATATATTAGATGATAGTGTGCAATAATTATGTTGTTATGATGTAATATTTTGGCGTGATAATTTTGATAATTTAATCAAGACGAAAATTATAAAAAAGCATAAATACATAAAGGAAATTTGTTCTTCATTTCAAATAACGATGATAGAATGAATTTATCTCATCTTGTGATCTGAAAAAGTTAATATTTTCATGAGTGGCACATCCACAAGTCAAAATATTAACTTAATTAAACCAAAAGATGAGATAAACATTTCATTTGACAAAAAAAATACAAGTCTTATTCCTATTATATTTTCTTAGTGATCTTCATGACCTTACTCAGAAAAGCATAGTGTCAATGAGGCTGACTGACTGTAGGTGTGACGAAACGTTAAAAATCTTATTTATTTCACTCTAGCGAAAGTATGTTTTCAGCATGGTCAGACTAAACAAAGTATTTCATGATTAAATACATAATACAAATATTAAAAACTGTTTCATTAAAATTTCTGTGTGACATTGACATAAATAACTGCAGTAAATACTCTGGCATTAAATTGATGCATCTGTTGTGTTTACACAGAATATGCTGTTTGAGTTTTAGACATACTAGTATATCAGATGAATTGATGCCTTCAAGATTGTTCTAAAGTAGCATGTAATGTTATTCACTGTGATTAATTTTCCTAAAATTTCTCTATTTCAGAAGAATGTTGTTTTCTAAACAAGCAATATTTTGAGTGAAGGTGAATATGCATTGTTTATTTAAAAAAACATAGAAGTAGAAATATTATTACAATATTATTGAACTGATACTGATACTGAATATTATTGAATTATTTATTTCAGGCTTTGAGGCCAGAGACATCACATCACTACTAACTGTGACGTCTATCTCTGTGACGTCACAGTTAGTAGTCACAATCATTGAAGCCCTCGATTGCCTACAAAGTCCAAACAGCTAGTCTCGCCGGGACGGGCTACACATACACATTAGGAGCGCTGATAGTTTACATATGTTCACCTGTACTATAGGGGCGGTCGGGTAGCCTAGTGGTTAAAGCGTTCGCTCGTCACGAAGACCCGGGTTCGATTGTCGTCATGGGTACAATGTGTGAAGCCCATTTCTGGTGTCCCCCGCCGTGATATTGCTGGAATATTGCTAAAAGCGGCGTAAAACCATACTCACTTACTCACCCATCTGCACTATATGCCAAAAGTCATATAAACGGCATGATGACTACAAAAAACATCTCAAACAACACGGACATTCTAGCCACCACTAGCCACAAGCCACAATCTAGACACAGAACTCTGGTCTGTTTATAGGCAACAGAATGGGGAGGACATGGTTAAGCCATGTATTCCGATAAACATTAGTAGGCAACATATTCCCACATTAAGGCCAACTGGGTCCACAAATAAATAAGTTTGGATCCAATACCAAGGGTTTGTCTTGTTTTAAGTCCTCTGACCTAAGGTATACACCTAACTGCACCTTAATGCATACGGCCCATGACGACATCCGTGATAAAAAAAACCCCACAAAACTTAAACAATAAGTTTGAAACACAAATTTATTGAAGCGATCATAAAATCATGATCACCGGTAGCCAGACTGTCACTCCAAGCCCCGCCACCAGTCCATCGGTTTTGAGAACACAACTCAAGGCCCACTGGTAACAGCGAGATCATTGGTCCACCGGTACCATTCCACCAGTGAACTCCACCGGTATCATCGGGAACGCCTGGAACACAAAGTGTATATATCAGGAGCTCCCCTACCTGCTCACAAACATTCTGATGAGAGCCCCTAAGCTCGAAACTAGTCACCTGAGATTACTCTTGAGTCTTAGCCCAAACCCAATACTGATCTATCACACCTCTCTATCACCTGAGTGTAATGGCTGATATATAATCGTCTTCCTCTTTCAGCAGCCTGGAAAGCCGCACCTTCACCACTGTGGTTCAAGTAGAACCGTTGAGCAAAAGGAACAGAGTTGAATTAGGAACTATTCAGTCCAAATCAGCTGAGAATTTCGCAAAACCGGTGGATTTACCTGATAACCTAAAGCGCACGAGCAAAATTGCTCGTAATAACATGCAAATGGGGTTTATGATTGCATGTAAAGAGAAAAGTCTTTTAGACCATTCATCCAACATTATCAAACAACAATCAAGAGTTGGCCAGAACCAGAAGTGAAGCTGTAAAATCATGCACCATATAACTCATGGACACATATTTCCCAACTGCAATTGAACATATGTGAACTCAGAGACCTATAGCCACTATGGAGAAAAATAAACTCCAAAGGGATGCTGACAAGACTTCCCTGGATACAACCTGTGCTGCGTGCCAAACAATTTCAACTCGGGGATCCACCAACTGGCACACAAAATAGGATAAAACGTTTCAACGAACTCAAACTAGAGTTTAATGGAAAGAACCCCCTATGACCCCAAATTGTTTATGGAACCCACAACAACCCCTCGCAACAGACCACGCCGCCAAGAGCCAAGAAACTCACGGCCCTTTAACCGCTTCAACATCAACTCCAGACCAATCGGGACACATCCAGCTGGAAAAAGTCCTCAGGCAGCTTGCCAATGCTCTCAGTGTGAGCGGCCATAATAACACTGATATTAGCCATAAGTTTTCCAATTTGAATCTTAATGATAACGGTTCAAATAAAAATTCTGAAAGTTACCAAACTGCTTTTGTTATCAATCTGTCTGATTATCAATTTAATGAGACAGAACTTAGCGTTCTTAGTAATTGTAAGGGCCTCACTTTTAGCCCTACACCGTTAGAAACGGATTTTAGCAAAATATACACCGATCTAAAGGCTTTTTTTATGAGGCCAACAAAACGGACACATATGATAATTTCAATGATCTAGAGCGGAAATTTGGTCCACGAAGTACCTAGACCCCAAATCCGGGCACAGGCCCGACGCTTGATGCATTTATCAAATCAGTTAAACACCAGTTCCTCAAAATGAACACCATAACCTTCTCACGCAACAATCTGACGTGTGCACAAAGATCACACATGAAAAGTCTCAAACACAACTCTGAAATCGTGATTTAGAAAGCTGACAAAACATCAGCAGTTGTTATTATATAACAGAGGCCACAGGTCAACTCAGTGACGCCCACTTTAATAAAAATATTTAAAAAAACATGATCCCACAATGGAATTTGCTAATACACATCTTCTCACTAAAATCTTCAGAAGAAGTTACATATAAAACATTGAATGGACTGTTACCCAAAGACTCCAAACCCGATCGGTTCTACCTCCTGCCTAAACTTCACAAAAGCCTAATGGTACCACCACTGAACTGATTAGCAGCTTTATTGATGAACACATAAAAAAGTTCGTCAAAAATCATCCTAGCTACATAAGGGACACCCCCAACTTTATCCAGACTCCATGTTATTTCATCCTCCCACCAATCAGCGACATCATCCTTGTCACTATGGACGTCACATCCCTTTACACCAACATACCAAACACGGAAGGCCTTCGATCGGTAGCCCAGGCAATTAGACGTTTCAAACACAACTGGTCTATCAGCCCAATAGCTTACTATCTTTACTAAGAACAATTTCGTTTTTAACAATGAACACTTTGTACAAATAAGAGGAACAACAATGGGCACTAAACTAGCCCCATCCTACGCAAACATATTCATGGGAGAACTAGAACCAAAAAAACCCTTCTCAAATAAACCACTGATACCTCAAACCTATACGTCAGATTTGTCGACGACATTTTCCTCACCTGAACTTTGGGTTACATCAGATTAGAATTTACCATCAAAGAAATCAATGAATTAAATCCAACCATTAAATTCACTGCCGAATTGTCTCGGGAAAAAGTGGCTTTCCTAGACACATGGGTCATCTTCAACCGGAAAACAAGTAAACTGGACTTTGACCTTTATTGCCAACCCACGGATAAACATTTGTATCTGCTATATACTTCCTGTCATCCGCATCACATTAAAGTCAAAGGACCATACAGCCAATTCCTCCAACTCAAAAAGATATGCAGCTCGCAATCACAATGTGAGTTCCAAAAGTAATAATCTAGTAAAGTACGATCTTTGTAGAGGATACCCTAAGAAAACCTTCATGGATAATAAAATGAGAGGAAATGCTAAAGAGAGAACATACCTCTTATTACAAAAACAGACACCCTCAAAGACACCACACCAGTGATCTTTATCACAGATTACAACCCCACTGCACTCAAGGTCAGTTCCAAAAACTCTTGGCACCTACTTTATAGGGTCAGATACCTGCAAAGACACTTTTCGAGTCCCACACATCACGGCATACAGAAAGAACCGAACACTTAGAGACATTCTCATGAAAGCAGCAATGACATATCCACCACTCAAACCACAAATCAGTGGCCGAACTGTGACCAACCTAGATGACAGCCGTCACATACAATCGTAAAATCTGCGTGAACATGAAGCCACCCAACACCTTCAGTAGCCACACAACAGGCAAAGAATATAAATGCCATTCGCACTTGTAAAAGTAGAAACATAATCTATTCTTTATCCTAATCCATATGTGATAAACAATACGTAGGAGAAACGAAACGACACTTCTGCAAACACTTTGCCGAAATCAACCATCAAAGGGACAAACCAGTCGCTGAACACTTAATTCTGTAGGACACTCAACCAGACACCTACACTATCTGACATACTACAGCTTAAAACAGACCCCGAGTCAGACCAGAGCACGGCTAGGCGCCGATCCATTTAACTTAAATGGACTTTTTATCTGAAAACTCTCCACCCGCAAGGCATGAACGACAAGATCTAATCCTGGAATTCCCCCACAATATCTACACAGTCTACAGAGTCCACTCTGTTGATTTCCTTTCTTCATGGAGAAGATATATGCTGAAACTGAAACCATGTCCGGTGATGGATATCTGGAGGAGCTTTCTGCTGATGGTTACACAATGGTTACAATGCGCTCCCTGACACATTTCACTTAAATAGGACGAGGAAGTGAAAAGCCACATTGACACAATCGACAAATGTGCTTCCTGTCACATTTCACATAAATAGGACGAGGAAGTGAAAAACCACATTGACACAATCGACAAATGTGCTTCCTGTCACATTTCACATAAATAGTACGAGGAAGGGAAAAACCTTATTCACTCACTCAACAACATGACTAATATTTATCAGACTCGTGATGTTTGAATAAAACTATTCTAAAAAAACACATTGTACCATTTGTTTACAAGCAAGAAAATTATTTTCTTCTGAAATTCAATCATGTGCTTTTGACTGATTAAGACACCCGGGCCATGTTAAGTTTTGAAAAGCCTGATTAACTGAAGTGGACGATAAACAACCTTATATTGTGAGAAATAAAAACATAAAATTTATATTTGTTTTTCTTTGTTAAATATGAGAAATCCAGATTGTTAAATATGAGGAATCCAGATGGTTAAATATGAGGAATCCAGATGATTTTAGATAGCTGCATATCAGGCACTCCCTTATAAACAACTATAAGATTCAGAATTATTTAATTGAACCACCACACATTCTATTTGCCTGTTCTATATATAAGAATTGATTTTAATTATTTGGTTTCCAGGTTGTCCAAATTAGAATAACAGTGATTCCTTAAATGTATTTTCAGGTTTTGGAAACATAGAAAAAAATAACAATGTTTGGGGATGCTATGTCAGATAGTTTTTTCCCCGACCCACTTTGGCATTTTATTACCGACTGAACAGACTGTGGGAATATAAGTAATTCTCCAAGATGAAATTTTATTCCATTGCATTTTTTGGTTACAATGTGAGGTTAGTATGTTCATAGGTACCATAAAACGCCATTCACATGTTTGATGGCAGACAATATTATCAGATTTTTGTAATATCTGGCAAAAACTAAACAACATGAACATGATGGATATATTTTAAGCATGCTGAACTTTTTGTAAGATATCTCAATGATTTAATAATTGAAATCATACTGCGATGACATAATTTCAAGATATAAAGATATAGTGTAGATAGACTGTAAATATATATTTGTATATTCATTTTTGAAACTTTATGAAAAGAATACTTTGATATTTTTGTTTGGTCCTATCAAGTATTATCAAATCATACATTTATCTGCATGAACTTCATCATTTTGACCAGACACACTTACTAGTACATTTGAAAACCTGTTTCACTAACTCTTATCCTGGAGATTGCCAAATGTATTTTTTATGTTCCACGATACTTGTGTAATTTTGTTTAGTAGATTTGGTGTATGAATATTTGGTAGCCAGTGGTTTCATGATGACTGTCAAAGAAAGAATATATACAAAAGTTTGAAAGAAGACAAGTTAAATTTATTCTTGTCACTCTGAACTGGAGTGTAACAAAATCTATATCTACAGGCCAAGATTGCAACCTTAATTCTTTGATTGATCTGCTGACATGGTTTCTATTGTCATTCTGAAATCAAACAAATAATTAATTATTGTCCTGCTATGACTAAATAGGAACAGCAAACTTATATTTGGCTTTCAATTTGATGTCATAAATGACACATCACATATTTTAACCTCTCTACAGTGATTGAAATATGCAGATTAGTTTATTTTTTTATTTTGTCTAATTCCATCAACATAATTTGTTGTGCTTTTTATTTTATCTTGGTTTGATTAACAATTTCATTCCTTTTCATCTTTTGTTATTTTATCTGTTCTCATATCTGATCAAGATATTTTCATACTATTCAGTGAGTGAGTATGGTTTTACGCCGCTTTTAGCAATATTCCAGCAATATCACGGCGGGGGTCACCAGAAATGGGCTTCACACATTGTACCCATGTCGGGAATCGAACCCGGGTCTTCGGCGTGACGAGCGAACGCTTTAACCACTAGGCTACCCGACCGCCCTCATACTATTCAGGATAGTTGTATTAGTAGCCTCCTTTTGGTATACAATTCCCTATCATCATACAGGATTAGGTCAGGGTCTTCGAGAAGTTGTTGTTTGTATCAATTCTTATATTTCTTCTATTTCATGCAGTATTTATCTTTATTTATTTTAAGCTTCATTTTAACTTATTTTAACCCTTTTACAAATTATTATTTAAAAAAAGATAGATTGTCAGCCGCACAAAAAAGCAAAAACAATTTTTGACAACTATTTAGGCTCATCTTGTTTCATTGAAATATGACTGGTTTTGCAGCTGTAGCTAAAAACAAATATAGTCTGCATACAAAACGTATGAGACCCGCATCACTTCGTGATGTACATTGCAGATGACATACTTTTTCAAAGCAGTTTTAAACTAATCAACTTATTATAATGCATACATGCTTACATATGCTTGTCGCAAGAGGCGACTAACGGGATCGGGTGGTCAAGCTCGCTGACTTGGTTGCGTGGATCGATGCTCATGATATCAATCACTGGATTGTCTGGTCCAGACTCGATTATTTACATACCGCCGTCATATAACTGGAATATTGCTGAGTGCGGCATAAAACAACAAACCAACCAACGTCATGCTTGCTGACATTTTCAATCATTCTACCCGCGTCAAGATAGCCCTTGTATTCCCGCAACTATTGTGACGTCATAATATGTTTGCGTGTGTGACGTCATGTAACGTCGCCATCTTATCGATGGCTTCAAATGAAAGAGGCACATACCCTCACGAACTTCCAAGGTAAGATAGCCTAACCTTTAAAAAACCGTATCTGTGTGCCAAAATATATTATGTACTAATAATTATTTTTTGTCCATGAATCAGACTTTCGAGCTGTGCGCCCGTTCAACCTTATATTGTTATCGAAAGCAAAGTGATATTAGAAGCCTAGTTAGCGCCAAAAGGGATCCATTGTCTTTATCGAAGATTTCAGTTAATCACTTTTGGTTGAACAATACAAGGCAATGGGGGATGTTTCTTCTCCCGTTAACCTCCTGATGCCAGAGAGACATAAATGTCCTTTCTCTTCAACCCTCACTTTGAAGTCGAATAAAATTCAACATAGGCCTACATAGTCACGCACACAGATACACATCACAGTTTTGAATATTGTGGGAATTTCCCTGTCCTGTGATAACATCCACTGTTATTTAAGGCAAAACATAGTTACTGAAAACAACCTCTGAAAATTAGGTACATCGTAAATGTCGCCTTTTTTTACACAATACTAAATCACAATTCACGGCGCTATTTACAGCATGTTTTGAAATCTAAGTTTACGGATATTTACTCGGAGAAACGAATTTCAAAAATACCATATTAGTGATCACAGGTATCTGTCTTTTATCAAATCACCAATGATCATTCCAAAACGTCGCCGATAACCCTAGAATCGTTAGAATGTTTGGGAAAATCCGCAAACACCAACGCCGAAGTGAACCTTCCGCCATATTGGATAGTGTTTACAAAATCAGATTTCATGTGTACCGGTTTTGTGACGCCTGTAACATCACATATTTCAAAATCAGCTTCCATACATATATCCTTGAATTCCTCATACATTTTAGAATCAAATGTCCAATGGTCTTTGTCACCAGTACAAAGTGTCTGTATGAAATCAAGCAAAATAAATTAGGTGTGCAAACGAACGCAGTGACGGAAAACTGCACTCGTTTGAAACATAAACAAAGCAACACGCTGTCGCATTTACTCCTATTTCGAGCTACCCGTTCTTCTATTCGTTGCAGAATATGCATGGGAAGAGAATCGTAGGCAGAATTAGGCATATAAATATATACATTGCAATGATTTGATACATTCAACAGAAATTGTCCGTCCTGCGTGACGCCATGACTGACGCAAAATCACCCCCAACGAGAACGTTATTTATCGGAATTTCTTACTATTTCTCTTGGTTTCAACAAAAACATGAAAAACAAATAACAGTACACAGATTGTCAGAATGTTTCTGATTACTTACATGTCACATTTATGTATATACGATCCCTGAATAGACGTGCTGTTGTCAGTGAACACGCCATTTGGTAAAAGTCGGTCACTGGTAGTGATGTCATACGTACGTCACCATTTTTGTACATATATATTGGTAATTTCTTTGAGGTGAAGGTCCTTGAATGAAAGATCCTTCTATCCTGCTGTTTAAAGTTTCAATTATGATGTAGATTTTGCATATCTTTTATACATTTTTTCACACAATTAATTTCACAATGAATGTTTAATATGATAAAGGTAATATACTGTAGGCCACAACATGTATGAACCTTTGATAATCTCCTGCTTGTTTGAAAATTATTTACATCAGAAATTGATAAGTTTATGGTGTGGTATACGATATTTCTTTACTTTAGACAAGTGTAAGAAGGTTATAAGTAACTGCAACATATACGTAATTCTTTGGAGAGTCAATATTGTAATTTCATATAAACAGGTTAATGAATAGCCGTTTTATTTTATTTTAGAACTAAAACTGAATAGATCTATAATATTACTTTAAGAAAGTGGATAATATTTTTCGTTAAAATATATACAGACATTTTTAGAATAATTGTCCTGGTCTTGTGTTTTTATGTCGTTTGATAGACAGAACGGTGATGACTAACCATTCGCCAGGTGCGCGTTATTCATCTCGTTTTGTATTATTTTTATATAATGAATGGGTTCAGCCCTTTTAAATATTGTGATCACATGATCATGATTAAACTGCTTAATTATTTCTCCAAGAATTGTAAAAAGTGTAAAAAGTATAAACCGTGCATGTACCCCGTTGATCGAACCGTATACAATTATACCTAATACCAAATGAGGTTTCTTCGCATCTTTTATTATATAATTCTGAGACGAGATGAAGAGAAATAATCACATATTAATGAACAAATACATGTACAATTTTAAATATAAATTTGTTTGTTTTGAATTATTCTTTCATGTTAAATTGATATATCAAACAGGTGCGTGTCTTGTCCAGTTAAGATACACGGTAGTGTTTATCAATTCAAGACATTATTTATTGGTACAAGCAGTAATAGTAGGTTGTTTCAAAAAAGCTTCAAATTCCGTTTTCCACATCGAAATCTCCCATACCATGAACGAGCATTAGGGGAGATATATATTAACCAAATACCAGTGTGGTCTTTCCCCGACATTGTCAAAGACATAAATAGGTTGGTGTCATTTGTTTAGTAATTCATTACATTTGGTGATAGGGCTAGTGTTCCATTAATAATGGCGCAACATTTGTCAAATTTTACTTAGGACTAACTAATAGGTTATTAACTTCTTTTTTATGAAGTACGATAATTGCCGACTTAATCATTTCTTATTGTTTCTTTTTATACCTAAACGTATACAGTTTCAATAACGATATTTGTGTTGGAATAGAATGGTTTCTCGTGAACAAAACACCACGAAAATATATTGTTCTTATCCATTCTAACCAAGTGACCCGAGGTACAATAAACTAGAGCTAAGCATAGCGGAGCTGGCCCCCTTTTCTATTGTACGTGTGCAACCGTTCTGTCGTCTTTTGACGTCATAGAGGGAAATCAGTTTTCGTCATTTACGGCAAGCTATTTTTTGTATTGTACGTTATACATAAGCATATAAACCCATTTAATATACATGTATGCAGCGATAGAAACTAACAATTTTCGTCCACTCCCAGTTAGCACACCTACATCGGGCCGACGTTGGCTTTGCATCGGCAACCGCCGGCAATATCGGCAAACTGCAGCGGTGACACATTTGTCGATTACAATGTGACAAATATTAGATCAAATATATTTACGAATAATACAATAATTTTATTCCAACTCAAAATATTAACTATATTTTTAATTTTTAAATTAAATAGATCAAGCACATTCACTGACCATTTTGGTTGCACATATACAACAGACAGAGAAGATACAGACGGGATTCGTCACATCTTACAATTCATTCAGCAAATTACAAGATGTTGGCAAAAGTTTGGAATATCGCGATCGGTTATGTTACGTTGGTTCAACGTTTTCACAACATGCTTCAAAGGAAGCTACTCTTGTAATAGAGGGCGCTGTTACTCACGCGCGTCTTTTCAAGCAGACGACGAAAGGATGATGCGTGGAGGGCTGAGGAAAAACCTATTTTGCGGTAAGTGTTTACTTCATTATTGTATTTACGAGGTGTTCATTTCATTTTCAAACCTTACAATTGAAACGAGAAACAGTGTTCATACAAAAGTGTCAACGTGAGTAGAGAAATCTAGGCCTATGTGTTTTGGAAGTTAGAGAAACACTCCTATCAATGTATCCTGCCTATTTTACGTCAGTGACAAAATCCGTGGAATATGTCGTGACACTGCATCCTCACTATATATATTCTTTAAACACCATATTATACATATTTCTAGCAAAACGCGGGACAAGGGCAAATGCAAAACATGACAAGATATGTTTTATTACCATGTAGATTCTGCGATGTTCAACCCACGAGTCGCAATCTCGGGGTGAGAGTATTACAGCGGCAAGCAAATGAATAGCCAAACAATGTACTTGCATTAGTATTTTTGAATGAACATGGCTTCATTTGTTACTGTCGCAGTCGTATTTGTTAAGTGTGGGGGATGGATTAGGTTAGGAAATTAATTACAAACTCGAATTTACAAGTCAATTTTGTGATTGCTGTCAGCACAAAAAGCAGTGAATATGAAATTCATAACGAGGCTTTCGGAAACTTTCAGCATTGCGTGTACATGTTGAAGATCCGGGGTAGAATAGGTCTTCAGCAACCCATGCTTGCCGTAAAGGGCGACTATGCTTGTCGTATGAGGCGACTAATGGGATCAGGTCAGACCCGCTGACTTCGTTGATGCATGTCATCGATCCCAATTGCGTGGATCGATGCTCATGATATTATCACTATTCCATTATGTTATTAATAACTTGTTTTGACACACTTGTGAAGTCCATTACTTGTAATTGTCAGAGTACATGAAATTACTTATAATATGCACACTGACATTTTTTGCTTTCATTTGTAAACAAGCTGAGAAGGAAGCCTGCAGCTGGGTTCTTACAAGCCACTGAAAAGTACATGGTGACCAGTGTAAAAGAATGGCTTCGAGTTCCAGGAGCCAGGCTTAGAAATCGCACAAGAAAAACGTGTACTGAAAAACAGGTGCAGATAGAGAATCTGCAAACATGAGTGCTGAATTGCATCGGAACAAAGAAATCCAAAAGGTTGGTGTTGACAACTTATTTTTCACAGGGTTATGACCCTTGTTTTTGAACTTGGTACATATACTGCAATGTCCTCTTGGACACTACTGAAGTGAAAATGAATTGAACAAATATATGTCCAATATTGAATATAATTTTGGTTGTTTTGAAATATTCTTTTGGGTATTTCAAAACGTAAATTGATGCCAAACAGATGCGTGTCTTGTCCAATTAAGATACACGATAAACTATCTAATTGTTTACATATTCAAGACATTATTTACTTGGTGAAAGCAGTCATTTTATGTTGTGTCGAAAAAGCGTCAAATTCCGTTTTACACATAGATATTTTCTAAAACCATGAACGAAAATTATGGGAGATATATATTAATCAAAATACAAGTGTCGTCTTTCTCCGACGTTATCAAAGACATAAAACCAGCCATGATGTCAAAAGGAACGGTGTTATTTCTGGGGTATTTCATTACGTTTGAAGACAAAGCTAGTGCTCCATTAATAATGGTG